TGCCAACAGATGTTGAATGGATGAAACCAGGATGCAACAAACAAATATATGCTGCTGCTTAGATAACAATAAAAGACAACTGGCTTGATCCAGGATAAGGATCCTTACACCTGGAAATATGCCCCATTAAATTCCACAGGGTTTACTTCTGAGTTGTTGTTGTTTTTAAAAAAAAACTTTAAAGCCCTATAAGGCCTAGGACCCTTGGACCCTTGTACCTACGGGACCGCCTCTCCTGGTATGCCCCACGGAGGACCTTACGGTCTGCAAATAATAACATCTTGGAGGTCCCGGGCCTCAAGGAGATTAGACTGGCCTTGACCAGAATGCTCTGTCACAAGAGACCAGGGCCCTGTCGGATCTGACATCTTTCTGCAGGGCCTGCAAGACAGAACTGTTCTGCCAGGCCTTTGACCAGAGTCCAGTCTGACTCCCCCTCTCTCCTTATAAGAACTTGCATGAAAGTGGCCCCCCAACTTTTTTCACAGGCTCATATAAGATCAGTATAAAGCATTTAAGGTCTCCATCCCTAATTTGTGGGTTGCCATCTGATTAGATTTCACTTTGATTCTGATTTGATTTTAGGATGTATTTTAATTGATTGCTTGATTTTATAGTAGTATGTTGTATATTTGATGTTAGCCACTCTGAGCCCGGTTTTGGCCGGGGAGGGTGGGGTATAAATAAAATTTATTATTATTATTATTATTAGTAGTAGTAGTAGTAGTAGTAGTAGACATGGCTGGGATTCTGCTGTAAGTTGCACTGAGGTCCCATTTAATCAGTGGGATAAATGACTTAAGTGTCATTGATTTCAATGGAAACTAAGAGGGTTGAAAAAAATAGCTTGGGAGAATTAAAAATGGTTTCTATTGATGCAAGGAAGAGAGCAATGTAGGTGCTAATCGAACCTCCTTAGGGAAGGCATTCCAGAGGCAGGGAATGATGAACTTGAAGATTTTCTCTGTTGCCGCTTCCTGTCTGTCTCAGCTCATGGTGGGGCCAAACGGAGGAGAGCCGATTATCTCAGCACACAGGAAAAAGAGTTTCATTAGAAGTTATGCGGCTATGTGAACACATCTCCTTTAACCCATTCTGCTGTGCTCTGCGGTCAACTATCTAAGCACTGCTTTTCACATTACTTTTGAAGGTCAACTCTTGGGAGTTGTGTGCGTCTCTAAAGTTCTGTGGGAAAAGAAGGATCAGACTAAAATAATGCATCTAATCTCTGAGAGAAGCAGCATGTAGGGCAAAACTCCAGAATCCAGAGGCAATGCTTTATGTAGATGCAAATATTATAGTCTTAATGTTGCATGCATCTTCTGACACTGAACAGTCTTCTAAAGTAATGGGCAAGTAGCCCTAAACCCTATTAAAATCTAAAAGGACTTATGTCCATTTAATATTTGCAGCATTTCAGGCCATGACATTACTCTAGCATGGGTTTTTACTGATTCAAAGCTGCAGTACAATGCAGTGAAAGGAATGGAGTTGTGACTAACTTCCTGGATTCTGCCCTAGATCCCTCTTCTTTTTCTTGTTTAAACTATCCCAAGTGTCTAATTCTGACTTGCTCTTCTAGATCCCCACCATGTCTTGGAACAATTTGTCTTTGTGCTATGGCCTGCAACAGAACAATTCATTAAAGCTTTATTTTCTGTGGGGAAAATGTTGGCAGTAGTTACTCATCCACCTGTCTGCCTTAATAAAACGCTAATACATAAACTGAAATATGTTTCTTTTGGAGCTAACTTTTAGATGAGCGAGCACAATGCCTGGCTGAAGAGCCAAGGCCCTGATCTAAAGCCAACTGAAACCAATTATTATTCCCATTAGTTTCAGTGATCTATGGTTTGGGCCTCAAGTACATCTGCTCTCTCCTTTTAAACAAGCACAAAGGGTAAACCAGTATGTGGTATTGCTATAGTCAAATGGAGAAACAGTTCGAGGCAAGGAAACGCTCAACTACATGGATTTTATTATAACAAATGAATGTGTGGCATATGGAAATATACGGTTTCAGATATTTGCAAAGAACACAGTATGTAGGCATATTGTGAGCTGTTGCCATGTTCCTTAGGTTTCATTGCAAAGAAAAATGGTGTCTGACATTTTCTGTGTGGACACACAGAAGTAGAGTGCCAAATATCTCCGACATGTGATTGGCCTGAGATTTTCTCTGAGCAATTAAGCCGCCACACTTCTCGTGGTATACCAATAAAATTCCCCCCATTCCAAAATTTTAGTGTGGTGGAGCGGCTGAGGTGAACTAGCCAATTTGGGCTCACAGAATTGTGATCAGTTCCATTTGGCTTGGCTGACTTCTAACTGGGACATAAAACCTGAATCAAGCCATTTTTATTTTACTAGTAAAATTTGCTCTTGCTTTCAAAAAGGCTTTTGATAAAAGCCCCTCACCAAGGACTCCTGCATGAATTTAGAAGGCACGGGTGCTTTTGTGAATCAGTAAATGCCTAGGAAACTGGAGGCAGAGAGTAGGGATAAATCGACAGTTTTCCCAATGGAGGGATGTAGAGAGTGGAAGATTAAGGGAAGGCACAAGAAAATAATTCTTTACACAGCGCATAGTTAAACTATGGAATTCCGTCCCAGAAGTGGCAGTGATAGCCTTCCCCTCCATGAATTTGTCTAATCCTCTTTTTAAAGCAAAAGAAAAAGCTTCAGGTCCAAAGGGGAGAGTGGCAATGTTTAATAGAGGCCTCTCAAAGGAGATACTCAGTCACCTTTTGTAAAATAGTGAACTGGTTTCAGGGCAAACCGGTCAACTTTAGACCAAGGCCTAGTACTCCAACATCTTGCGGAAAAATATACCTCAAGAAAAGGAGGATCTCTCTGCACAGCTTTCATAGACTTTAAATCTGCCTTTGATTTAATATCACGAGACAGGCTTTGGGAAAAACTAAGTGCCTCAAACATAGACAGATGTCTACTGCGTCTCATCCGCAGTTTATACGAAAACATTCGGGTCCGGGTTAGGTGTGACCAACAGAGCCATATATACGAGAAAATCCTACCATGGTGTTAAACTAGGCTGCGTCCTTGCGCCTACTTTATTCAACTTCTAGATTAACTCCTTAGTAGAAAACATGGAGAAAGAAAATGCCCAACCCCCTAAATTGGCTGGTAGACCCCTCCCGGTTCTCTTATATGCGGATGACGCAGTTCTAATTTCCTTCTCCTGTGTAGGCCTAAGAAAACTTCTAAGATCTCTCACAGTCTATTGTAATGCTGAACAATTAACAATTAACTATAGCAAATTCAAAGTTATGGTGTTCTCTAAAAAAATAATGAGACACAAATGGAGAATTGACAATCGACCTATTGAACAGGTATCGTCTTTTAAATACCGGGATATAACCTTCCAGGAAAAGGGCTTGTGGCATTACCAGGTTAAAAATACTATTGAAAATGCCCAAAGATCTACCAAAGCTATTTTAAGGTTTTTCTATAGAAAAGGGGCCAATATATTCCAGCAGCCTCCCAGGTCTTTGCTGCAAAAATATTAACACAACTGACATATGGCTCTCAGATCTGCAGCTTCTCAAACCTCACTCCCTTAGAATCATTCCAAACTAAGTTCCATTGCTGCCTGCTAGGGATTCCTTTTTGTGTGTCTAACACAGCTGTCCGCCCGGAGGTCAGGCAAATCCCTGTTAGTGCTCGGAAATGGATTCTGAAGATCCATTTTTGCTTAAAACTTATCTTTTTCCCTGTTGGGTTGGCACCCTTAACCCTAGTGGATTCCTACCAATCCAAATGGAAAGCTACACTGCATGAAAAGGTAAGAGGCTTGGGGTTTTCCCCACAGGCCCTGATAGCTGTAGGTTATGAGAAAGCTAGAGCAATAATCCACCGACGAATCTGGGATGTGGAACTGCAATGCCACGTGAGCGAGTTGAATAAACACCCAGCAATAACATAAGATAATGGGAGAGGATTTACCCCAGCAAATTATTTGGCAAAATTACAAATACCTAAATACAGACCGTCATTTACCCTTGCTAGATTCAACATGCTGCCACCCGCCTTCTTGCAGGGCAGATTTGAGGGTAAACCATATGCGGAACGAGTCTGCCCCTGCGGCTTGATGGAGGTAGAAACTGTCTCTCATGCCTTGTTACTCTGCTGTTTCTACGGGGATATACGCTTGGTATTTATTACCCCTGCTATGCAAAAATCTCCAAATGAATCTGAACTTCAATGTCTAAAATCCCTGGTAGAGGACAAGGATCCAAATTCTGTGTGATTGCCATAAAACTTAGGGAACAAGCTGTGCTATGATAATGATTAAGGCCTTAAATGATAATTTTAGGTTATATGTTAGTGACTAAGTTTTAATTTATATATTTTTTAACTGTTGCTATGTCTGTATTGTCCGTTACACCTAGTTGCAAATTCAAATTTATCCCTATCATGTGTTATGACTTCCTTGATATTGTATGTGGGCTGTAACTGGTCTGTGACAGAAATAATAAATTCTTCTCTAAAAAGCCATCCAAGTTTGGGGCTATCGGTGGCTGCTGGCCACAATGGCTATTTTATCCATCCATTGCTGGAGGCAGCAAGCCTTCAAATATCCGTTGATGGGAATCACAAGAGGGAAGAGTGCTGCTTACTTGGGTCCTATTTATGGGCCGCCCACAAGTACACCGGGAAAAACAGGATGCTGGACAATGATAGGCCTTTGTCCTGATCTTTACGTTTACAGGTCTCCTAACAACTCTCAGCACCTTTAACAAACCACAGTTCCCAGGATTCTTTGGGGGGAAACCATGACCATTTAAAGTGGTGTGATACTGTATTGTTCCGGCAGGACCCTAATCACCTGGGTGATTCCACCAATCCGGGCTCACGCAGTGCAAGGGAAGATATAACCGTGTGACTGCTGCCTATGAAAAGTGAAAATAGGAACAGCCTATTGCGAAATGTCCAAGCAGCTCGGCCAGAAATGTTGAAAAGGGAGATGGTTCTTGACACTTATGAAAAGGATTTTGAAAAGCTGTGCCGAGTTTTCTTTTCAGCCTTATGTAAGAATATAATAAGCAGGTTTGCGGTGACTTTCCAAAATACAATAGGCACCTAAGCTTTCCAAATATATAACCAGCCAGTGAACGCTGTAAAATATTTGTATAGCTGATTAGCACTAAGTAGAAGAGACACCTACTTTAAAGTATCGCCCTGTAAGTGAACAAAGGAGATTGGGGGCGGACAGAGAGAGAGAGAGAGTCCTTTTGTATTTTTCCTCCTGCTCTCTCACCCTTGATAGTAAACTTCCAAGGCATTAAAGGTAGACTAAACAAGAGGCAGTAACAATAGGTTTGCTTCTCCTGGTTTTTAACATGCAAATGCTTAAATTGCAAATCCCTGAACACCATTCTAATTAATAAACAAACTCAATGTGGAATCTATCTTCTTTCATCTGAATCAATAAACAGAGAAGTCATGAGAAAGGGACCTTTTCCCTTCAGGGAGCCTTTTCTTGTTAATGTTGACTCAGATTGTTAGTGCTTACACTTGTCCTTGTCCTTGTGTTATTCTACTTCCTTTTTAACCACCCAACTTCATCTCTGAAGATCTTTGCAAAGTGGTTCTTCATGCATGACTTTCATATTTATTTATACCAGTAATGAATATTAGCTGCCAAAGTAAGCTTTCTAAATTGAAGTAACATTTAATTGCTACACCAGACATTGAAAGATGGATGTCAAATGTCACCTTAATTCATGTCAAAGCATTTGTTGCAATGTGCATTTGAAAGATACGCTTTGAAGAGACAGCCGAATCTCATCATTTCTGAAAATGTGAGTACAGTACTACCTGCTGTCATGAGCAACGACCAAACTTGGCCATAGATGAGTTTGGCCTTTGGTTCTCAAACAGCAACCCCTTATGCTATGTAGCAAAGCATGAGGGGTGGGGGATTTCAAAAGATGTTTACGATTTAAAAATAAAATAATGTATTTTCTCATTTTTACCCTGCTTTTTACAAAAACAAAAAATCACCAGGCTGCTTATAAGTGCCATATTTTTCCGTCTATAAGATGCCCCCTATTTTTGAGGACTCCAGTTTAAGAAAATGGGGGGAGATCTATCCATGTATAAGACGCTCCCAAATTTTGGACATTATTTTTTAGGAAAAAGCCTAGTCTTATACATGGAAAAATACAGTAATTGCCACAAGAAACCTAACGTCAAGAATAAAATAGAAGCAATAAAAAAGGAATAAAACAGTTCAGCTTTAAAGACAACAGGCACAGAAATCAATTCTTAAAAGGCTTCTGGGGTAGAAGAAAAAACATTTTCAAAACACCCTTAAAAGCAGACCATAAGGAGGCTTGGCAGGTTTTCCCTGGAAGGGAATTCTACAATCCTGGTTATGTTTAAAAAAGTGGGGCATAACTTTGATGCTTACCCAATGAGTCTAGAGTTTAAAAAGAAACCAGAGGCTGAGATGATGAACTTACAACCTGGGTAGATTTTAGGCAACAGGTTCAGATAGAATCATAGAATTGTGGAGGTGGAAGGGACAACGAGGGCCATCAAGTCCAATTCCTTGTAATCCAGGAATCAACTAAATCATGTGGTGTGCAAGTATGAGATACAGAGAGAGTAGATAGATAAACACACTCAAGACCACTGCACATCTCAACTAGGCCGTTTAAATCCCTGAGCATTGCTTAAATTTTAAAGCAATCAGCAGGTGATAAGCTGTATGTTTGTGTATTTTTGAAAGGAATCTCATGTCTTCTATTTCCCATGCTAATTTTGATTCAGCTTGTCTACCAAAACCAAGTATATTCAGTTTCCCCCCAGTTGACATCAATGCAAAACAATTCCAGTTTTAAATGAGATTTGAGTTCATTATACCATGGACAGTAGCTCAGGCAGTAATGGAAACCTGTGGTTTGTTTAAAATAAAAAAGGTAGCTTGACATTTTTGCTTTTAATGAGAGGTCATGCAGATTCTTTTTTCACCTATTTGTGTGTCCCCTAAAACCATCTCCAATGACAGCATGAATCTAGAAACTCTGGAATTTTGCAGAGGGCCAGAATTCTTTTTGCTAAGGAAATACAATTCCCTTCACACAGTTGATTTTGTAAAAACCAGCCAGGTCAAACCTGCAAACGTTTCTTCATTGAAACGAACCCCCTGACATGCCTGCGTTTGCATGGGTGCAAGCAATCGGGGGATCTGCTCTGAATGTTGTAGACAGAGCTGCAGCCTATATTAAAACACCAATGAGCTAGGTCACCGTTAACTTTCTTCTGCATCTCACCTATGTAGCTATTTGTCCTTAGATTATGTAGAATAACGTGGAGGGAAAGGCTGAGGATTGCACAGCTCTTCCATATTTGTCTTCCAGAAGCTCCCCCTAAATGAAAAAGCGAGACACTATGGTTGGATATTGTGTTTACATATAACAGAACTCATCAATATCCACAAAATTGCCATCTGGCGCTGTATTCGGCTTAAGGTATCCATTGATATACTGAGGAGAGAATCCACTGGAGGACTGAAAGAAAGCCACAACATACAATGTTCTTCTACAACGTCCGTGATGTTCTTTTATGCTCCTCAGGAAGGCAGATTCAACATGTCCAAAGAAGGGTTGGCAGGGACAAGGTAATGGGACGGCTAAAGAGAAACATGGTTGAAAGTGCGAATGAAGGTTCATAAACTAGGAAAGCAGCACATGCATGCTGCACATAGGGAGCAGAGATCAAATGTGGAAATGAGCTAAAGGGTGCAGAATATATTGCCTTTTTTTGGCTCTTGAAAGCTTAGGACTCCGAAGGTCTTCTATATTCCGTGTGTACCTGCCCAAACCTGATGATATCACTAGATACATTCCTTCAAGTCGTTCCGCTTTGTGAAGTCAGATGGGCAATAACTAGAGGGAGAGGCACAGTGTACGTGGAACGCCTTCCCCAGGGGAGTTGTGGTTGATGCCAAACCTGATGTCTTCTCAGCACCAGGCAAAGAGCTTTTTATTTGACTGGGCTTTCCATGACGCACCCTGACGCATACTTAAAATGGTGCTTTTTCTGATTCTATGGAATTTATTTCTCTGCTATGTTTCTGTTATTCAACTGGTTTCTCTTATAGTTGACAGTGTTTTTATTGCTTTCATGCCAAGCTCTTATGCTGAGAGTTCTGTAAACTAAAGAGCGGCATGTAAATGTTTAAAATGAATTTAATAAATACTTATTATCGGTGTCCTTACTCTTAAGAAGGGCTGTTTTGCAGCTTACTGGAAAGTCCTGAGCAGTAAAGGCACAAATGAGTCACACATCTCTTGCTTGTGCTTCCAGGTTAATACGGGAAGAAATCGTGCATCGTATTTGCAGGCAGATTCACTGGAGAGTGATCCCAGGCGCCATTTCAGATTTCATTGAGTGACAGGTAAAAGGCTTATTAAAGATTAAAGATCTGCTGTTAGATCTATTCAAATAAAAATGGGCAGAGCACTCTTACCGGATCAGGGAAGCTGCTGGGGCAGATGAACTACTAAATCCAAAGCCCTTCTAGACTCAAAACTGGAGGGAGCAGTTCCCACCCCCATTTCCCTGTTTTGGGACATAACACAATTTCCCTTCCACTTTGGTCACAACAGGATGGAAAATCAACATGCCAGGGCTAGTACTACCCCTGCCCCCAAGTGTGTGGTTGTGTCAGGATCCTGATCTGTACCACCCTGGCATGGCACCCACTTTTTTCATTGGCAGGGGTAACCCAGAAGTGTGTCCCCCCCGGCCCCTGCTGGCTGGGAAAGGGATTCCAAGGGCAGATTTCCCTCTCTGAGGCCAGACTTTTTCTCCTGCAGCCTCTGAGACAATAGGCTTGTGCCCTAAATTGCAAAAGGAAGAGAATGCCAGTGCGAGGGATCAAATGCTGTGGCTGGTGCCATCATGCCTTATGAGCAACAGTGTACATTTCAATGAAACACAACGAGAAAAAATAAAATAGAATAGAATACAATTTAAGAGAATGGTGGCAGGGGTGTTTTAAAATACCTCGGTAAGAATGATCGCAAACAACCTGTGCCTTTGATAGGAATATCTGGCATGAGGACTACATAACCCAGTGGTTGCCAGTGTGGTGCCTTCTGAACGTTGTTGCCCCAACTCCCATCTTCCCTGACTGGCTGGGGCTGATGGGAGTCAGAGTCCAGTATGTTGCAGAACCAGTGAAATGGCTAGAAACAGAGGCGCTTCCGAAGAATGGAAGGCAGAACATAGGAAGGTGCCTTACACTGAGTGCCTCTCCAGCATTTCAGACAGGGGCCTCTCCCATCCCTACCTGGAGATGCTGGCGATTGAACTTAGAAATTTCTGCATGCATTTCAAGGGGACATGAAGGGTTTCAGACAGGGGACATCGCCAGTCCTACCCAAAGAGGCTGGATATTGAACCCGGGACTCTCTGCATATATATCAGGAGTTCTGCCCCTACACTTTGGTCCTTCTCTTCTCCTCCAGAGGAGACTGACAACAGCAACAGGGACGTGCTGAGGAGGGCAATGGGAAACCCCCTTTGCCAGCCTCCCTGGTTAGTGCTGTTCCTACTGGTCTGGACGACACTGCAGAAATCTGTATGTGCTGACACAGAGAGAAGCAAACGTTGGTACTTTCCATGGTAAATTCCTTCTCTGTGTAACTAGAAATATACAGCAAATTAATTGTCACAAAGAGCATCAGAGAATATTCAAAATCACACCACATAGTTTATCAGCACCCAAATAGCTATCATTAGAGTGTCTTTTCAGGCCATTGATCTGCATGTGATCGAATGTTATATGAAAGCAAAAAACGGGAACACACAGAGCGCATTGTAAAAAAGCAAGCTTTGCTGAAGAAAGGAAGGAGGGGGAAGGAAATGTTATGTAATTCAGGCCTCAAGCTACAAACCATAGCAAAAATCAGGCAAGGAACTGACTTGCGTGCATAATAATACTCTAGCAGCGTACCGACCGGAGAAATTATGATCATTCGTGAAGGAAATGTAGAGCACTGCATCAAGGCATTATATGTGAATACAAAGGATCCATCACTTTTAAAAGCTTATTCCTTTAGGCATGGTGTGCTTCTTATTTAAATGCTGCTGTTTAAAGCATTTCTACATATGTGCTTCAAAACTCTATTAGATAAAACCCACCCATCCAGCTGCTGATGGTCTAGCTTTCCAGTAGGTGCACCTAAGGGCTTCTTGGAAAAGTCCCCTTCTCCCCCTGCCCCTCCCCAATGGAACACATCTTTTCCTCACTATTAAATGCACTGTTGTTTTGTTTTTAAAAAACGTTGCTCAGTTTAATCTCATTTCAGATAACCACATTCAGATTCCTTGACTTGGGAAGCTGTTCTTAGTGATAGCTAGTTCACACTCTAGAAGGTATCTGACATCTATAGCATTTAGTGGCAGAAATTAAATGCTGGGAAGTCTGAAACACGGATGTATTCTTGCAAACATGCAGTGGTCACACATCAGAGAACTGTAGCCAAACTGAACTCCCCAACACATGTGCACCTCATGTCCCTATGTGTTTACCAAAACATACCATATTCACACAATATGATGCTCACAGCTGCAACTACCCCTATGTACAGGGCAAACGCGCCTGCAATATAAAACGTGAATTTAAGAGGCAGCATCTATGATTCTGCGATCTGCATTACAGACATAAACTGCTACAGGAACCCCTGTTAGGATGCTCAGAGCTTTATCTCTCAGCATACAAGGCTGTTTTAAGGATGAAAGGGACGGCTATAGACGTTTACTGAAGCTTTATCCTCACTCCATGCATTTAATTGATAGTTGTGTTTTTACCGTTGCAATTATTAGCAGGGCTGTAAAAATCTGGGCACCCAGACACTACTGGCACCCCAAAATGCCAGTCCTGCTGACTGAGCTGCTGAAGAGGGCAGGACATGAGTTGTTCTACCTTCTGTGTGACCTGGTCACTTTTTTATTTTACTTCCTTAGCTCCTCCCCAAAATCAGCTGTCATTTGCTGGAGGGAGGGCCATGGTCCTAGGTAGGCTTTAGCCTCTGGAAGAAAGGAAAGGGATGGGATGGAGAACAGAACGGGATTTGTCCTCTCGCTGGTGACCTCTCTTCTGCTCCTCCATTCTCCTGTCCAAATTCTGTTGTTATTATTATTATTATTATTATATCAGTTCCTAGGTTTTGCAGTTGCTGTTGTTTCACTCCAACTCCCATCAGCCCCCGTGAGCTTTGTCAATGGGCAGGGACAACGGGCGTTGAAGTGCAGCAACATCTGGAGGGCCACGAGTTCCCTGTCCCTGTTTCAGAGATTTCGGCCAAATATTTTTAGTCACTCAAGAAACATCCCAACCCTCCTAGCAGTCAGTCTGATCGTGTAATGGGAAACTTTGTATAATAAATGCTTTGTGACCTGGCTTATTTTCCCAAGTTCACCGTGATCCCAATGCTAATGCTCCTCTGAGCTCGTTCTAAGGACATTGTACTGTAAATATTTTGAAGCGCGATGTATTAATTTGATGCTGGCTGTGAGATCTTGGGACTAGCAGAACAGGAATGAATGCTCTTGCTGAAGGAGGGCAGGAATGGCAACTGTTTTGCAGACAGAAATCTCACTGGGTGATTTATTAATTCCTCTTCGCTCAGTCAGGCCGTAATCCTTGCACTGTGCTGGCCTTTCCCAGTATAGTTGAAGTGGCATGGGATGCTGGTTTACAGCAGCCTCTCCCCGAGGGAAGGAAAAACCTGAGCATTTTGCAAATGTTCCAAGTGACTATTTGCTATTTGCTAAGTCTGCTACCTCCTTCCCTTGCCCCAAGCCCTGCTCCTAGAAGGCAGCATTCCCCAGCCTGCTGGGGGCTAGAGTGGGACTAGTATCCCCAGCAACCTGGACAGGAAAAATTATGCACTATGTGCAATTTCTGCTGAGCTGGCCCTTGGGGTCCTTCCGTGAGAATCACGCAGAGCATCATTTTCCCACCTGAGGTACTAGGATTTGTTAGTCCAGTTCAGTGTTCAGCATGAAAAATGATCATCTGCTACAGTGAGTTACCACCACAACCTCCTCTGCCTTCCTTCTGGCACATGGCAAACCTCTGGGATGCCTTGGAGAAGGAGGAGGTTGGAGCCACGGTGACTTGCAGGGTTGGAGTGAGCACAGCCTGATCCTGTTCATAAGTACAGGATTGTTCACAACAACCCTAGTTTTTGTGTGTTTGTTGGGGGTGTATGTGTTGAAAATTGCATCCCCAACCTGTAATCTGCACGGTCCATACAGTGGTACCTCAGGTAACATACGCTTCAGGTTACATATGCTTCAGGTTAAAGACTCCGCTAACCCAGAAATAGTGCTTCAGGTTAAGAACTTTGCTTCAGGATCAGTGGCGTAGCGTGGGGGGTGCAGGGGGGGCCAGCTGCACCGGGCGCAACATCTGGGGGTTAGGGTTAGGGGGCGCAAATCCACGGTTTAGGGGGCGCAAATTACTTGCCTTGCCCCGGGTGCTGACAACCCACGCTACGCCACTGTTCAGGATGAGAACAGAAATCGGGCTCCGGCGGCGCGGCAGCAGCAGGAGGCCCCATTGGCTAAAGTGGTGCTTCATGTTAAGAACAGTTTCAGGTTAAGTACGGACCTCCGGAACGAATTAAGTACTTAACCTGAGGTACCACTGTATTGCCATTCCAGAATTCTGCCCCTTCATTCCACTGTGTGTGTAGACCAGGCCTATATGGGAATGTAAGAATCTTGCTAGATTAGATCAAAGGCCTTTCTAGTTCAGCGTCTAGTATAAAATCATGCATGGTGTGCAGATGGGTTTCTTCATCTCTCATAATATTAGAACTCAGGGCGCTCTTCCCATGAAGGTGAATGTGGGAAGATTCAGGACAGACAAAGGAAAGTATTTCACCCAGAATTCTCTTTCTACAAGAGGCATTGGTGGCCATCAATGTGGACAGAAGACAAAGAGACAAATTCATGGAGGATATGCTGGGTGGAGCTAATGGGACTTGTAGTCCAATGTCTGGCGCGCATAATGTTGACTTTCCCTGCAGTGCGCAAATATTATGGAAATTCATGTCCTTTTGTGGGGGGGCAGGGAATGTGTGTGGGGTTTTTTTTTTGGTAATGTGTAAGCAGCCCCCCTACCTGAGGCCCTGTCTTTCTGCATGTTGATGAAATCAAACACTCAGGAGATTGGCTCGGAACATTTACCTTTGTGCAAAGAAAGACCACGAACCATCTCACTTTACAAATTTCTTTTCAACAAGTGACGTTTTCCAACACAAATGGGGAGGGAGGCATCTGAGAAGAACGAATGCTGTTCCCAGCAAAGTTGAACTAAGTCCAGAAGAAAACAAACATTTCTGCTCCAATATCAGGACTTAGTTTGTGTGTATTTTTAAAAGGATTTAGGATTCGGTCTGCTTCTCACTGAAGGTATTGGGAAAATGCCCAATTGATCTTAATGGAGATGGATTACATCCTTGGACCCCGATCCAACTGCGCACATGCAACCAGTGCCAGCTTAGGGCATTTTTCTGCATGAGGCGGAGCCCAAATGGTGCCACCCTGCTATGATGATAAAAGTCTTGCTGCACCATTCAGACACTTAATTCCTGCCTTCATTCATCTCCCCTTCATGGTACTGTCTAAAGCTGGTCACTTCACCCTCCTGTATAGCGGTGCCAACCCTGGCTCCTCACCTTTTAAGAGCCCATGGGCACATTCAAAAGCCTGCAGAAAAAACCATTGAGGGCATTTCCCAGAAGTAAAACTGGCAGTGCTTAGACACCCACCCCCCAACAGGCAAAACACATGCACACACCCCAACAACTAAGCAAAAAGATAAGAATAGGAGGCAACCCCCCCTTATAAAAAAAAAAGGCAACCCCCCACCTGGGCAAACTCTGCCTTTCAAAACATTAAAAACAGGGACGGGGGCTTTGGATGCCATGGTGTCTATGAGCACCATGTTGGAGACCGCAGGCATACACAGTCCCCATGGCTGGATTGGACCTGGCAGTTGTGTGTACAGCACCTGTCTTAATCCAGTTAGGTATACATGCATAGAAGCAAGAAAGAAGCACTCCCTTGCTGGTGCGAGGAAGTATCTTCTAAGGTTGTTCCACTATTTTCAGAATACAGTAAATGCAGAAGAATGGGTGACCTCACAGAGTAAATATTCTTTAGTATAAGTTAAGAATGCTGAAGTCCTGGCTGAGCAGCTGGCAGTGACCTCCATCAGCAAGTTCCCCCTTTTTTTGGCAGCAGTTCCTTCCTTTTGCTGCAGAAGAGCTTAAAAGTTTCCTTGGATTCCTCAGTGACATGCAGGCAAATCCAGCAGCGGAGAACAGCTGCAAAACAGGCAGCAAATTCAGAAGAAGCTGAAAATTGATTTAAGGGGGAGCATTAAGGACAAAGCAAGAGCCTTTCATGACTCCCCCCCCCCCAATTCTTTGTTAACACATTGCTTTCTCGAAAGATAAAGCATAAAGCTATTTTCTTCCTTCGGACTGACCAAAATGCAGTTAATTTTAGGACTGCGTAGGGTTTTCATCGCTGATTTTGGAGATAACAGAATGGGCAGATAAGTACAATTGGTAAAGAAGTGGATCATTAGAATGCTTGCTGTTTTGCATCTCAACTGAAAATAAAGACCGGTTTTCCTATTTGGAGTATCTTGCAAGGTGTTCTGAAGGTGTTCTCCACTTCTTCTTGAGGACAATAGACATTTTACACAACCGTTTTAATCGTTTAGTCCTTTTCATAGTACCTACAGGTGTGTTTGGTGCTTTTGACAAATGATGCAATATGCCCGTTCCTGTCCATGGTAGCTTGCAAAAAGAGATGGAACAGGGATGGGGGGATAGGACAGGTGGGAGGGAAGGAACAGAGCAAATAATTATAGTTCCAAATTTACATTTGAAATGGAAGCACAATAGTAAGTTGCAGGATATATTATTGAGTTATATGTTAAACTATAATGGATGAAGAGGGAGAAGATTTAGGTGGAAAAGGGAAGCAAAAAGATGCACATTTTTTTCTACGCTTCTTAAAGAGAGGAAGAATGACAAATGTATCCAGGAAGACCATTCCAGACGTAGGGAAAAGGAAGAGATAACGGACAGCAAATCAAAGGAGAATGGTCAGGAGGAGACAAACTGTTGAACGCCTCAAAAACTAAAACTAAAACTAAAAGCAGAATATGAAGGGGGAAATTAAAGATCCAGTTAAGAGGTCAAAAGAGAAAAGTAATATGATCATAATGAATTCCAGAGGGGTAGCTGTGTTAAGCTGTTGGTAGCAAATAAATAAATAAAAGCCCCACAACACTGTTTTTTATATTGTGGCATAAGCTTTTGTGGACTGAAGAGTGGGGCCATGAAATGCACAGGAAATCAGCAAGTCTGTCAGAGCCCAATGTGTGACATAAGTTTTTCTTGCAAGGCTAATTTAGCACCTAAGGCGAGACAATACTTTCAAAGTGCTTATGTAGTGTTCTAGTCTTGACTGGAAACAAATTTGTTGATTAAATTTTAGTCCAGTGTGAAATTGCAGCACCACTGTTTGCAATACATTTCCTCTGCCCCCATGCCCCCCCTCGTGTGTGTATAATATACCTGCCAACAGAGATGTCTATGAAAGCCTATTCCAAAATAAATATGATCCAGCATAGTCCTGTGGGTGTTTGCTCAAAAGTAAGTCCCACTGCATAGGATTGTTCCCTTCATGTGTAAGGTAGAATGTTAGTTTGATCAGAACCATTGGTGAGCTGGACCAAGGTGGCAGAATTCTGGGATGAGAACAAAGGTTTAAGGCAAGCCAACAGCATCTCTCAAACATGGCAATAAGATAAAAAAAGATTAAGGACTGAGCCAATATCTGTGGACTAGAAGCAGAAAGAAAAAGGTAAATAGTAGGCTTTCTGAAAGCTACGACAACCTTGTCCTGGAAAAGGTAAGAAGAAAGGAGGACGCTGAGTTTGAGAAATACATTATCTATGTTTCCCAGACACCAGGTTGTCCAGTTCCTGCATCTGCAAGTTGCTGCAAATTTGTTAAAGTGATAACGCTGAATGCGGACACACCTCCTGCCTCAACTGACACAGTTACACAGAGCTGTATGTTATCTGCTGTCCATTAAGTACCTTAGATTGCCCCACCCACTGTTGCCGTTGGTGTATTTTGAGCAATAAGGAAAGTCTACAACACCACTTTGTTTTTGGTTTTAGCAATGCAGTTTACAAAGCAGGAGTGGGAAGCTATGGCCCTCCAGATCTTGTTGGAATCCGATTCCTATCATGCCCAAGCCATTGGCCCCACTGCCTGGTGCTGATGGCAATTGCAGTTCAACACCTGGTGAGCCACAGGTTTCTCCCCACCACTGTCAACCTGCTATAAAGCGTCCCACTGTTTTCAGTTCTTGGCTGCATGGACCAATGGACCTGGCAGTATTAGCATTGTATACAGTCAGACCATGGGTCCATCTTCTGATCTTCTGTGTTGCTGCTTCTGTCCAGCAGCAGCTCTTCAAACATAGACAGGGATCCTTCCAGCCTCACTACCTTAGAAGGAGATGTGAGGAACTAAACCTGGAACTTGGTGCATGTAAAGCATGTCCTCTAATGCTGAGCTGCAGGTCCTTCCCCAATAAAACAATCCTGGCCTCTCTGCTCTTCACGTCCCGACTTTGCAAGGCTGGTTTCGTGTTTACAGAGCTATATGGACAAGACAAGGGAAAGAACATGATGCTTATACACATCTCTCTTCGCAGGCTGCCTTTTATCTGCATTTGCCTACCTTAAATATCAACATTGTGACTTTGGAATTTTGTTATGAAGTTAAAAGCTTAAACGAAAAACTTGCTTCCCAGAGCAGCCAGAAATATTTGAACACTTAAAGGCTTTCTGTCTGTGATTCAGAGATTTATTTATAAGACTGCTGATTTTGGGACATCAAACGTATACATTCAAACTGCAGGAATGAGTCACATTTGTAGGAGGTAATTACTACCAGAAAGTACATTCTAACTTTTGTCGGTTCCTCTTTAAAGTGTCCACTTAAGAGTGCCATGTTCCAAAAATAGCATTCTTTGTTATGTGCTCAGTAAAATCCTGCCTTACTGTATGGTGTGGTAATCTATGGAGGTTTAGCCCTGTGGTTAAGGGCATGTGTAGGCTTTACAGGAGGGCAAGTCCTGGACCATTTCTGGAGCGGTGGCCTGGTTAAAAATCACAAAAGCTAGTGCACTGATGCTGGTCTTTGTGGGCGCAGCTAACATTTGCAAACATGATACTTCTGCAGCACAAACCCTGGAAATGTTTTGCAATGCTCTTTGGCAGTTAGGGAATCCAAAAATTGTACGTGAGAGGGATTTCACAGTTGGAGGACATTCCAGGCATGCATGGTAACTTATCCTATAGCAAGGGTGGGGAACCTGTGGCCCTCCAGATTTATTATTGGACTCCATCTCCCAGGCAGCATGGCCGTCTGCCAGGAACGATGGGAGGTGTGGGCCAGCAACATCTGGTGGGACACGAGTTTCCCATCCCTGACTTATGGTGCATGGCTTTGGGATCACCCTCTATTGAAAGGCTGTGGCCTTCCAGATGCTGTTGGACTCCCGTCAGATGTAGCCAGCATTGCCAGTGGTCAGGGATGATGGGGGTTGTGGTCCAGCAACATCTGCTGCAGTTCTTGACACAGTACTTGGAGGATGCATTGGTTCCAGTCCCTGGCTTGGAGCTATTTTTGGCTCTTTTGTCCAGTCCTTTTCCTGCTCCAGAACTTCAGCTGTCTCAAATCCCCACCCTCCCAAGATTTATTCTTCATCTCCCATGTGTTCAGCTGCCCTTGCAAATGCTGTTCCAAATGCCCAATAGAACATTGCACTCCCAATGCGCTACTTTGCCCTTATCCTTTCTTAGTTCACTGGTGGCAAACTTGCCCTTCCAGCCTGGTTCTGCAGCATGAAGCCTCTTTGTTCAGTTTGTTGAAGCCCTGGCCAAGGCCCTGCCCTCTGTCTGAAGTCTGTCTCACCCAGACTGGAAAGGGGGCGATCTGTCAGCAATGCAGGATCACAGTCTTCCGCTGCCTTGGAGTCTTCTGAGTTACTGATGACTTCATTGGATCTTTGAAGTCTTCTTCTGGCAGATCAGGGCTACTCTTCTCTCCTAACAGCAGGAAAGGTGAGAATCAGCCAGCTCAGGAAAGGTGAGAATTGAGGTAGGAGAGGCGAACTGGACAGCTAGTTGTGCCAAAAGAAGACACTGGCTGGAAAGGTCCAATGAGTGTGTGCATGTGTTGTGCTCCTTCAGTTATCTGTGTGCATGCCACCTCTGGGTGTCACCTCTCTCTGCAATTTCCCCATTAGCTGAGCAGCAGGAAAGAGAACTACCCTCCAAAAACACAACACATGATGTGTAATAATGCTGATGCAAACTCCTCTTCCTTTAGAGGAGTTTGTATCAGCATTACTACACATCATGTGTTGTGTTTTGGGCATCTGTGGTCTGCATGTGTGCAAGGGGGAATGTGGGGTGGCGATGCCCATTTTTGCTTAGGCCACACTTGTATGCACACCTCTGAGGGTTGGCTAAAAGGGAATGCAACCCTCTGGCCAAAAAAAGAGAGGTTAGTCACCTGCTTTAGTTGTGCTATTGTTGCAAGAATTTCATTTACAGCACAAACCTAGGCATCTCTACTCAGAAGAGTAGGCCTTACTCACTGATAAGTGGATATTGGATTGCAGCCTTGGTTTAGCAATTATCATTGCTGCCTTACTAGCCAGGAGAATTCCTACATTTGCTTCTGCGGTTGTTTGTTACAGTTATTTTGCATTTGCAAGAATGATAGCATGGTACAGTTCTGCATAAATGAATACAGGTTATGAATCAGCGTGGAATTGAGCCCAGTGCTGTCCTCTGCCTGTCACAACCTTATAAATTAATCTCCCCATGCAGGGGATTATGCCTATTCCAAAATGCTGCCATCGTTCTTCCCGCAGTAATCTCTTTCAGTATGTTCTGAGGGTGGTTGTTCCTATCGTTTGGTCCACCCTACAAACAAACAAACAAACAAACAAACAAACTCACACGCTTCATAGCAGGGATTTAATTACTCTCATTAGGGGCATGTAGTGTGCTGTCATACCACAACGCTATGGTTCAAAAACCCAAAATAAATAGATGCAACTGTGATCAGCAAGACAGACCAGACACGTTTTGAGTGGTTACTGCACTGTGGTTACAAATGGAATGCAGAGACTCTCCATTCAGTTCTGTGGGCTATGGAGCTATTCCAATAAGACGTCTGATCATGCATCAGAAGATATGTGTCCACCACATATTTTGAGCCAGTCATTTTTAGGTCACCATCCCTCCTTCAAAGAAGGTTTGATAGAACAATGGCCCATGTAGACAGTTTTCACAGAAGTCCATCAAGCTAGCTAGTAACCATACCATGTGGTATAACTGAGTCCAGGGCCTCCTCAACTACCTTCCATGCTGCTAATCAGGATTATCGTTGCTTGCAATTTTGCTGGCAGCAAAGCTGCAGCCCCCCAGTAAGAAAGATCAGGAATGGGCAGATCTAATAAAAACAGAACAAGTCAAACAACAACCTGGACCTTGAAACTGGTTCCTTTCCAGGTTTGCTTTGTAAGAAGCTGCAGGTTCTCATTTCTGCTTTCCCCAATAGAGATCAAAGCCAATATTCCTTCTAGTTCTGTTGCTCCAGTTCCTTCATTTCTCGACTCCCACATTAAATCCAGTCAAGTGATCATGCAATATGCATAGTTATATAATGAATGCCAAGAGTTCATCACTGCTTTCACCCAGTTTTTTATAACAATGGGAATGCTGTTTATTTAGAGATCTAACCTCTTGTCTGTGGAGTGAGAAAACCATTTTCCATTTCCATTTATTATATTTTTATGCCGCTTTTGACTCACACGAATCACAAAGCGGCTCACAAATAATAAATAAGAAAACAGAATGGAACGTCACAAATATAACACAAATCGTATAGAATAGTTAACAAATCACTAAAGCCACCACGTTCTAGAAAACACTATGAATAAAACAATTTTAAAAAAGAAGCTTAACAGCACAAACACAAGCAGCATCATATAACCATTTTCCACTGTCTGAAATGTCTTACTATATCACCTCCACCGTGGTTCATATATGGTGCCTTTCAACTAAAACTTCTGCTCCTCACATGGTATATTCCCTTGGCTCTTACAGTTTGGACTCTTGATAATGCCTCTTTCCATGTCGTCTTATTGGAATGTGTTTAGGTGAGAGGTGGGGTTACTGTGGCCCTATTGTTGGACATACCAACTCCCCTCAGCCCCAGCCAGCATGACCAACTGTGAGGCATGATGGGAGTTGTAGTCCAGCAACATCTGGAGGACCACAGGCTCCCATCACTCATTTAGATCCTGTGCAATTTTGTTACAGGATCCGAACCTGCCCTGTTTCTCACCATACTCTTCTAACCACCACCCACAGCACAGTTTTGTTGTTTCGTCTTACAAACATCACAGCTACGAGAGTTTATGAGAGTTCGACTTTTGTTCTGGTTCTTAAACCCTGATTCTTCAAATCCATTTTTGCACAGCAGGCATGAGGAACGTTTGGGCTTGTGCAAGACATCCTTCTCTCTTCCATTCTCTCCATCATCCATTCTTTCCCGCTCTGACACACACGTACGTACTTTTTCTCCCCTTCATCCATCATTCATTCATCCTCTGGTTAGTGTGTGTCAGCATCAGTCATGCACATTTCAGGAAGAATAAAACCTTCATCACACCAGGCCAGCAATGAAATGAAAGATTTAGAGAGTCAGAGGCTCAGACGACTTCCAGGTTTGGGGACACACAGCCATAATAAGAGTAAGAATCTTCAAAATATTGAGGAACATACTGACGGGAAGGACAAGGGTGGGGAAATCTTACTGTTGCACAACCATGCGTTTTAATTATTGTATTGTTTATGCATGTTATGCCTTAGAATTAGCTGTGTTTGTTGTTAAATAAAATAGCTTTGCGTGTTCTCCCATATGGTTTGGATTTGGTTAGGAGGGTTCAAACCTATTTATAAGCTTAGCACTCTTGGAAGTAAGAAGTGAGGTCCTCTTGTGAGAGAAGGGTTATTGGTTTGCTCTGCTTTTGTTTTTGTTCATTATGTCTTTTGTGACTTCTTTTTGTGTTTTTATGTTGTGAACCGCCCTGTGATCTTCAGATGAAGGGCAATATACAAATAAAATAAAATAAAACGAGTCAAAACTGTGATGTGTTGACTCTTTATATTTTAGAATAGCTAATGTTCTTCTAGGCTTCGTCAACAGAAGTATAGTTTCCTGATCAAGGGAAGAAATCCTACTGCTCTATTCTGCCTTGGCCAGACCACACCTGGAGTGCTGTGTCCAGTTCTGGGCGCCACAATTTAATAAGGGTATTGAGAAACTGAAAGGTGTGCAAAGGAAGGTGACCAAGTTGATCAGGGGTCTGGAAACCAAGCCTTATGAAGAACAGTTGACAGAAGTGGGGAATGTTTAGCCTGGAAAAGAGAAGAGTGAGAAGAGATATGATAGCCATCTTCAAATATCTAAAAGGCTGTCACATGAAAGATGGCGCAGGCTTGTTTTGTCGTAGCCCTGAATAACTTGTGCTCAGGATACCTTAAGGACTGCCTTACCTTGTCCTTCCCAAGTCAATAACTCAGATAATCTGGCATGCACTATTAGGGGGGCCTAAACACTGGAGGCTCAACTTCTCATTGATGTGACTCATGCTTCAGGTCCATGGAGGGCCACTAATCGTGCTCCTCCATGGAGCAGAAGCATGAGTCACGTCAATGAGATGTCAAGCCTTCAGTGTTGTGGGCCCAACTCCCTCCTACTAGATATCAGACAGGCACCATCCCTGCTGCGTTTCAGGTGCCTGGATAAAGCAGTATTATTTCAGGAGGTCTTTGCATCATGAATGCTTCTCCCGTTTTCTTTTCTTTTATTAAAAAAAACTAATGTTCTTCCATGTCTTTAAATTTCTGCAGTTGACTTTATGTTTTAAATTTTGCATACTGTGTATTTTTATTTGTAAGCCACTTTGAGACTTCGGTGGTGAAAAGTTTTTTTTAAAAAACAAACAAATAAAATTAGATGTGAAATGGGACATATTCAAGAGAGCCACTGTATGCTCTAGCCACACACTTCAGTAAGATCAAATAAATAAATAAATAAATAAATAAAATTAAATAAATAAATAAATAAATAAATAACTATTGAGAGTTTCTCCTACCTAATAAATCCTGTTGAGGCTACAGCTTGGATAGTTAAAACATCTTTAACAAGACCTAAATTACATTATTTGTAGCTCTAGCACTTACATGATGTGTTTTTTGTCAGAAGTGGTCCTCCCTCTCCCAAGCTTGTTCCTTTTCAAATGAATCACCTTCGCTGTAGGGGTTCTCCCGGGAATTGGGATTGAAAGGGGATTACCAGGAGAAAACTCATCATGGTTTGCCTGTAAAAAGAAACCCTTTATTGAAACAACTTGCAGCCCAACCTTACAGTTTCCTTGCCAGGCTTTAACTCACTGAAGCTCTAAAAAATGCCCAGATATTTAAACATCAGTAAGTAGTTTTAATGGAAAATATTTGTTTTTTAAAAAATCCAAATCTTGGAGGGAAAACAAACCAAGAACCCAAAGGAATAAATGAAAACTAATGTGGGAAATTCCAGTTGGATCAAAGTAATTGAGCAAACCACAGTTCTGGATGGCTAGACATGAATGTAGGATGCATGAAAGGGACTCTCTCACATCCAGTGTATTATGTGGGGATGTTGGCTGTGGAAGGAGACAATGATAAAGAAGCTTATAAATGCGGACAATTTGTTCAAAACCACTGCTCTATTTAATCATGTCTTGGTGCCAGAACTGGACTGTGCAGCAGGTCTTGCACCACCACCTATCTATGGCCAATGGAGACCAGCCTTACCAGCCAAGGATGGCTTTTGCACCAATAGGCCAGGCCATGGCGGCTAAAAGACCCTGCCTGCTAGAAGAAACTCTGGACTGGGCTTGCTCTTTGGCTTGAGCAGCAAGGGAAGGGGCCAGAACTCAGTGATAGACAGGAGTGGGGCAGAAATTTGATTCAGTTCACATTTAAAGGTGAACGTCTCTAATTCACAATTTCTGAAACAATATGCGAGCTGAAAATCAGCCACCCTTCAAAATTTGCAGTCCTCCAGCCAAGTAGCGTGTACAGAAATGCATGTGCTAGGATAAATTGTGCATAAGAATGCATGTGTTAGTGAGAAAATATACAAGAAGGCGTTATAGACTTCTCTGTGCCACAGGCTCCCCGCCCCCACTCACAAAGCCCTGTTACCGCTTCAGCTCCCAACATCTCCTCCTCCCAGTCTTCTCCCTCTGACCACTCATTGTCATCTCACCACCAATCCCTGGCTCTGAGCCTTCTTCCCCTGGGAGTTCTCCAGCTGGTTCCTCCGATCCTTCCGAATGCATCCAACATTTTGTATAGGTGCTCTAAAATTATATGTAAGGACAATGACATTATTAATACATGGCAATGCATTGGAGGTTGAGAGATGAGGAAGGCAAGGGGCATTTGGGAATCTCCAGATCTACCACTTTGCAAGAGCAGCTGTAGAAATCTGCTTCCTAGTGGCCACTTTTTAAGAAGTAGCCGCATCCAATCATCGTTTGAAATGCTGTGTGAAGTCAGCACTGTGTCTGACGGGTTTGGTTTTCTGCAAGAACTGGTGGAAACCATGAGAGGAATACCAACTGCCAGGCCATGATCAAATTGCAGCACCAGGATAAAAAAAAAATTCCGCACAGCATCATACAAGTGATAAAACACATTTCATAGGAGGCAATGGGTAAAACATATTACTTGAAAAACTCTGGTAGCCTTTGACAATCTGCAGTTTGAATCTGATATCCGAATCGATGCCTGCTCTGTTATGGAGTTATTTGTTTGCCGTTATGGAGACAAGATGTTTTTCTCCGTAGAGACATCCCTAAACCAGCTGGCAGAAGTCAAGGAATGAGAATATAAGTCTCAGCTGACAAAGTGCAAAAAGAATGTTCACAAGCATTCTTGGAAATCTTGCTCTTAAATAAATAAATGGAATAAAATACCACGAAGAAGACAGTGGGATAGGATTAATATTTCATGACCTAGTAAATTTCAGTAGTGAATATTGCACTCGTGCCAAGTTTCTTAGACGCTTTAAGAAACTGAGCATTTTCTATCGGCTCACCCAGCAGCAAAAATGAGGGTGCTCAGACACAATGCCTTGGGATGGATCAGTCTGTCAATTTTGGTTTCTCTCAGTTTCTCATTTTTCCAGCCGTAAATTCTTTTCACCCCATTCCTGCATCAGTTTGTGAAATTTTCTTGTTAAATCTTCATATTAAAAACTGAATACATTTTCATATGCATTTCTCATACTATCCACACGTTGGATGTGATTTTGTCCAGTGCATGCATTTGCCCTAGAAAATTCCCAAACTATATTGTTATTTTGCACATTATTTTCCACTAATATATGCACTTTTGTGCTCTCTTTTTGGGTTGGAGACCTGTGTCAGAGGGGGGCTTATTCTGAAGGATAGCAGTGTTTCAGTTCATTTATTGATTTGGGCAGGGAGAATTAAGGGGGTTTGCATGAAAATACTCCCCCATCTGTAACAGTGCCCCTATCTTTGAGGAGCTTCGGGCTTATTGAATGTGGCATAAAAAGAATGTCCAAGTGTCTCACCTCTCCATATAACTGAATATAGAACTAACAATTCCAAGTTTGGGGCTGGGGTGACGAACCTTTTTGAATCCAAGGGCTGTAGCCCCTTTTGAGTGACCTTCCAGAGGTTACAAACAAGTGGTGGTGTAATTTAATGAATGTAATTTTTTACCTTTGCACAGTGGGTTAGTCTAGACACACACACTCCCACACCCCTCTCTATCCTCCATTCAGGCTAGCAAGAGCCATTATTAGACTCCAAAGACACATTCCAGGCAGGCAAAAACACTCAAGGAAGGGCGTGAAGCAAGTGAGGTCAGCATGCTGCCACATTCCTGCTCCACACATGGCCGCTAGGGATGTTTAGGGAATATGATATTTGTGAATCCGATACAAATCAACCATCAATATCTTCTGAGCTAATGCCCTGATCAGAATGTCTATTTCCTTCGGATTTCACACAACTGCACCTTTTGCAATGTGGTTTTCATCTCCAAAAATGCATCACCAGGCACTTAGGAATGCATATTTTCAGATAAAGTACACTTAGAAATGTGTACAGTACTTTCATAAATTCAAATATACATTTTTGTGCATTTAAAAAATGAACAAACAGTTAAATGCAGAGACAGGATGGAATGGATTTATGAAAGGCTATCCTTAATAACCACCTATCCAGATTGTAAATGTTGCTGGACATTTTTAAAGGGGTGTAAAAAGTTCTCAGGAGCATCTCTGTTTTTGTCTTTGAAAATGCTAGGAGGATATAAAGATGCACGAGAAGTCTGGTGAATTAGACACAGTCTCCTTGCACCAACTGCACCTTCTGATCTGATGAGAGCAATGCAGGCAGTTGTAGCTGGATCACTCTCAGCATTTCACAGGTGACGCCAGCCAGCTGGCTCCCAGGTTGGCTGGTGCCTTCTCACAGTCTAGATAACATATCACTTTGGGCCTGACCTAGGCTGGTCACTTACGCCTCATGAAAAAAAGAGGAAACACATCACCAAAAAGCATGGCGAAAGAAGACACAGATTCACATTACATTTGCATAAGCATGTACACATGCAAATTTAAAAATAATTGCTGTAATTTAAACAGGAACACATCTCAGCAAGGTGAGGAAGGTGGTGGCCAAGTGCCCTGTGTGTCTGCTCAACCTGCTGTCCAGGTGTTGACTGAATCCCTATTCTTCCTTCCTAGAGTTTGCTCGCTACCATCTATCTAATTATCTATCCATCTATCATCTATCTATCTATCATCTATCTATCTATCATCTATCATCTATCTATCTATCTATCTATCTATCTATATCTATCTATCATCTATCATCATCTATCTATCTATCTTCTATCATCTATCATCTGTAAACCACACTTTCATACGAAATATTGCATGGCGGTATATGCAATACAGTGGTGCCCCGCAAGTCAAATGCCTCACAAGACGAAAAACTCGCTAGACGAAAGGGTTTTCCGTTTTTCGATGCGCTTCGCAGGACGAATTTCCCTATGGGCTTGCTTTGCAAGACGAAAACGTCTTGCAAGTTTGTTTCCTTTTTCTTAAAACCGTTACAGTAATACAGGGTGCATTGCTTGAAGAGGTGCAGTTGTGACTTGACTTCGAGGAGCAACTCATAGCACGCGGTGTGGTAGCCTTTTTTGAGGTTTTTGAAGACTTTGGTGATTTTCGAAGCTTTTCCAAAACTTCTTTTGCAGCCATTTGGTAAGTTAAACTTTTAAAACTTTTTTTGGGGTTTTTGGATTTTGGGTTGGGGTGTTTGGAATTCAAGGACTTGGTGTTGGGGAGGGGTTTGCAAGAATCTGGAAGCTTGTGTTTTTTTTCCTGCATTTTTATGATTTTTTGTGACCATTGGGCCACTCTGCTGTTTTTTAAAAAAATTTATGGATTTGAATTTCTTTGTGGTGGGTGGCTGGGGGAACAGTTGAGGAGGGGTTTGCAAGAATCTGGAAGCTTGTGTGGTTTTTTTCTGAATTTTTCTGATTTTTATTGTTCCTTCAATTTTTGAATTTATTGTTCCTTCAGTTTTTGAAATGCTCTTTACAGTATGTGTGACTTTAAAGAGCACTTAATAAACTCTTGTTGTACCAAATTTGGCTTTGTTTGGACTTTTTTTTACCATAGGAACGCATTAATTGAATTTCAATGCATTCCTATGGGATTTCGTGCTTCGCAAGACGAAAAATTCGCTAGACGAAAAAACTCGCGGAATGAATTAATTTCGTCTTGCGAGGCGCCACTGTACTGTATTAAGAACATAAAGAATAAGATATTTACACTGGACATGAGCTGGACCACCATTCAAACAGTGGACAGCTTCAAATAGAAAGGAGGCCATCCTCAATCTGATAGGTTCCCAGACTGTCTTCTGTGGTCCTCCAGTGGCCCACGAACTTCATCTAAGGGGTCCATGGCATCTGTGGATCTGTGGCTGTGAAATATTCGTGTTAACTCTTAATTGTGCTTTTAGTGGTTATGCATGCAATTTGAATGGTAAGACAATGAAATGTAGTCGACAAGAAATAAAACCAGCAAGAAGAATGCAATTAAAAATAATACAGCACCTAGCACAGCACATTACAATTGCTACAGGTTGTACAATGACAATAAAGGTATTATTGTTATTACAAGAGGGAGGAAAACCAACAAGTGGTTGCATGAAGACTCACAGCAATTTTCAAGTGGTCCATGGGGGGGATATTTGGGAGCCACTGCTCTAGCTTCTAGGACTACATTGAATGCATTCTGCCTCACACAGCATTACTTATTCTGTTTGCCCTCTAACGGGTTGCTCATTTCATCCCCCCGCCTGCCATCTGCCATGGGAGGCCTCGCTCAAAATTCACTAAGATGTCCGGAGTTAATTTCGCCCAGCGTGTCTAGGGCTGATTGAAGAAATCTGCTATTGGCACAAATACAAAGCTTTTCACTATTTCCATATTTAAGTTGGATCAAGCTTGCTGGGAAGGTTGCTCTTCCAAATTAATATAACACAGCTTTATTGAAAATGTGCCGTTGCCAGAAGTGGCTCGCGATGATGAGATAGGTAAGGCACGCAGGAGGGCAGCAGCCTCCCCATGTTTGAAGTCATGTAACTTTTGGGACCTCAAAACGGCAAAAGTTCCTCCCGCTTTTGTTCCTGACCTCCAGCAGTAACTCTCCCATTTGCTGAGCGGGGGAAACAGCATTTGAGTCTGTGGGAATTCGAGCCTGTAAAAACATTTTTTCCCCTTTTGAGTACTGTAGATTGCAACTATCCACAAGCTTTGGGGAAAAACAGTAGACTTTACCTCATGATCCAATCACCATTACTTGCAAAACCTTCAAAAACCGGGACGAGGAGAGAAAACATAATATAAATATTGCTTCAAGCCTCCTTGTCTGTGTTCTCAGGGTGGTTGTTTTTTTAGTGTCACAAAGACCCTTAATACACATTTAAAACTTTGTCTGTCAAGAGGAACCTTTTTGACGCTGCCCTCATTGTTATTTCAGGGTCTTGCAGATGAAATATAATGTTTATGGGACTCTGAGATTTGCACTTGTTTGTGTGCTATATATACATTGGGTTTATAAGAGGGAATGACCTAAACCACCTTGTTTTCAGGCAGTGATTCCCAAGGGTGGCAAAACAGTCTTAAAAACCAAGCTGGGGGAAAGGAGGCTTATAAATGTGTTAAATTGCTGGGGGTTAAGGGGTGGGTTGATTCCCTATGTGAATTTCTTCGATGTTTCTCATTTTGGAAAATATGTTTAGGATTAGAAATAAATTTAAAAACAAGCAGACACCTCAACCTTCAGTCACAAGTGTGTTCATATTTCATGCGCAGCTTATTCGTTTCAAGGTTTTTCTCTGTAATAACGTGCCTGTAGAACACACAAGTTCTGCAAATCATCGGCTTCAATGTGCAAATTTCTTCAGTCAAAATAGAGGGGGGATGCTTTTAAATGCCAAGGTTTCAACAAGAACTGGACTTATTTAACCTTGTTCTGTTTATTGGCCATACTAGTAGTGCTGCATCAAAAAATTTCCTTCTGTTTTTGACTACCACCCTCTGCCAAATAATGCCAAAAGAAATTGCGTTTGAAAATTACCAAATAAGAGAAAACTTTCAGTTAAATCCTCATGGGCAAGATGTGGGATTTACTTTACTTTCATGGTAGCCAGTGTCTGTATTCTTCAGCCATCCTGACTTCCTGCATTTCCTGGAAATCCCACAACATCATTGGCTGGGATTTCCTGGGCCCACTGCATTGGCTCTGCTGAGAGGGGCTCTGTTTCCATACAAGTGGGTCATTAGATGAACTTTGTAAATTTTAAGAACTGGTTCCTGAATTTGCTTTTTCTCCTCCCCCCTTCCCATTCCCCTTTCCTTTCGTGTCATGCCTTTTAGATTGTAAGCTTGCAGGCGCAGAATGGTGTGTACCACCCTGAGATCTACGGATGAAGGGCAGTATACAAATTTAATAAATAATAATCATCATCATCATTATTTGTTACTGGTGATTTTCTGTAAGCCACTCTGAGAACTCTTTTTGGTTCAAGAGCATGGTAAAAGTCCTATAAGTAAACAGACACGAGCCCCTGTGACAGGCAGGCAATAAAAGGCCTCTGAATTGGTGAGGCTGATCCTGCCATGGCTTTTTCAACCTGCCTTGCCCCACCCTCCAGCCATAGCTGTCAGCTTTTCCCTTTTCTTGCGAGGAATCCTATTCAGAATAAGGGAATTTTCCTTTAAAAAAGGGGAAAGTTGACAGCTATGCCTCCAGCCCTAGGAACCTTCATGAGGGAACTGTTAACCAGAGGAAGGACTGTGAGGGGAGAGAGACTCTTGTTTGCCATCAGGGGGTGCTTGGTTTGACCTTTGCTGCTCCAGCTCAAGTCCAAGGAACCTTTAGAAGGGAGTTGCTGCCACAGGCAATATGTACAGTGGTACCTCGGGTTACATACCCTTCAGGTTACACACTCCGCTAACCCAGAAATAGTGCTTCAGGTTAAGAACTTTGCTTCAGGATGAGAACAGAAATCGTGCTCCGGCGGCAGGGCGGCAGTGGGAGGCCCCATTAGCTAAAGTGGTGCTTCAGGTTAAGAACAATTTCAGGTTAAGAACGGACCTCCGGAACGAATTAAGTACTTAACCCGAGGTACCACTGTATATGTGTATTTGAATGAGCCGACTAGAGTGAAAGATTACGACTCATGGGTTGGTGGAGTGTGTGAACTTAACAGTTCTTTGTTGATCTTTCAGTTGCTGTTTTGTTAAAGTTGTTAATACAGCTTTATAGATGAATGCCGTATTGATTTGTTAATCATATAATATGACTTTTGCTTTAGTTGTGATACTTCAGCTGATTTTTTTAGTTGCTGCTTGTTAACAGCGTTTCATAGATTGCAATTGTTTCCCTGATGGCTTGTTAATCATTCTATAAGATTTATGCAGTATTTGTGATGTTCTGTTACGTTCTATCACTGTATTTATTTTTGTAAACTGCTTTGGGATTCATTTGAATGAAAAGCGGCATAGAATCATAGAATCGTGGAGTTGGAAGGGACCACGAGGGTCATCTAGTCCAACCCACCCCCTGTGACACAGGAATCTTTTTGCCCAATGTGGGCTCAAACCCACAACCCTGAGATGACTGAGCTCTCCCTCTCCACAGAAATGCAATAAATCAGAATCAAGGAGACCTTTTCATTCCTACCCAACAGTTCAGTTATTCCGTGATCCTCAATTTCATGGATGGCTTTCAATATCTTCTTCAAATTCATCTTTACCACCCCAGTCAGATATTTAAAAAACAACAACAGCACAAACCTTTTTCCTAAAGTTGCCAGACTTTTCTGCGAAATTCAGATTAGAAAGCAGCCACTCCCAACGTTCCAAAGGCTTAATAACTTTTACTGATGTAGCCGAAGTGTTTCCTTCTGTCATGCGGTATCCGTGTTCACAACCAAAACGAGCAGGAAGTCGCCTAGGGGCACAGGAGCCAACTCCTAGGGGCCAAGGGGTCTTCACCCCACACATAAAATATTTGTGGGGCCCGCGAGTAAGGGGGTCAAGGTATGAGGTATACAAGATTAAGCACAGAGTGGGGAAAGACAAGTTCATCTGCCTCTCTCATAATACCAGAATACTTATGAAACTGAGCACTGGGAAATTCAGGAAAGACAAAAAGAAGTATTTCTTCACACATGGATTTTTATTTTTTTTTACTACCAGATGTAGGGATGGCTGCCAACCTGTTTTGAAGGGGGATTAGGCAAATGCCTGCTTAATGGACAAGACTATCAGTGGCTAGTAGTCCTAAGGACTGTATTTTACCTCCAGTATCTGTGGAAGTCTGCCTCTGAATGCCGTTTCCTGGGTACCACAAGTAGAAGAGAGCTGTTGTGTTCATGGGCTGCATGAACTTGGGGCTTCCCTCAGGCGCCTGGGCTGGATCTAGACACATCAAAAAAACATTTCAGGAAAACGTGTTGTAAACCTCATAACAGGAAATCATGTTGCTGAAAGACAGGACTCCACAGCACCATCTGTTGTCACAGGTTATAATGCACTTAAAACGCTTTTTCTTTACTAATGTAGCTGAGTCCCTGGTTGGCCACTGTGAGAACAGAGTGCTAGGCTAAAACGGGCCTTTGATCCGACCCAGTAGGGGTCTCCTTATGGCTGATGATTGGTTTCTGTAATATTTCTCAAAAAATAGGTGTTTCTTTTCCAAACATAGCAGAACAGTCTGAGGGGGCAGAGCTTGTTTTCTATACCATAGTCTTACTTTGTTTGGAGGAGCTGCAAAAATGACTTATGTGTTTGTTAAAGGTTTAGTCAGAAGAGGAAAGAGTAACAAGGCACTGGCAGGGCTCGTAGATATTTTCTCCCTCTTTCCTTAAAATGACTTTTCCAGGGAAATCTAGAGTGAAAGAACAACTGTGAGCCATCCCTGATCTCTGGAAATTGATCAGTGTTCTGTTTTTATTAAAAGCAGTGCCACCTTCCACCTGCCTTGTAACCAGAGAGCACCACTCCGGCACTTCTTGTTCCCGTAGATTCCTCTCTCCTCCTGGACGTGCCAGGAATTTGGCTTTCGATGGGAGCCAGCGTGGGTTAGATGTGGGAAATGGAAGAACTTTTGCAGCTGCTCCTCCTGAGTCAGGGAACAAAGTTTGATGTGAGTTGAGTCAGTTAGCTGAATTTCATTTCTGAAGAATGAAAACAGAACAAAAATAAAAGAGTGGAAAGAGGGGGGTGGAAATCACAAAGCAGATTTCCAGAGGCTGGTTTGTGGACAAAATTTCAGATCACAAATTGTCACTGAGTTAGATTCTTACAAAGGCCACTATATACTACAGTAAGAGAGAACTAAGCATCCCACCTGCATTTTTGAGCCTTATTTTGTCTCACACACAGACAAAATTCAAGGGGGCTGTACTGGAATATATGAGATCAGGCCAGAGTCAGCTTCTAAAAATTGCTTGCTTTTAAATCTGAAATAATTTTACAATACTTTCACATGCCATTAGCTTAAATTGATTCCATATCTGATGAACCTGTTCCTGTGTGAGTGTGCCCACTGGGGGGCAAAATAATGATTTGTGGATACAGCATATGTCAGGAAAAACTTATTAGGTGTTTAGCAAGGGACTAAATTAAAGCAAAGTCATTTAATTTGCAGCAAGGGCTGTAATTAAGTGTGTGCCTGCTTGGAAGTTTCAAAGGGGATAGAGGTTTATCCCATGCCACACTCCATCAGGGGTCTGCATCCTTGAACATCTATTGAGATCTGAGCATCCTGGGAGAGTCCGTCAGCAAAACCTGGCATGCAGATGCAGCCATTGCTGCCTGCTCCCTCTCTCCAGGCAATGAGCGTTGTCTCTCCACACACAAAAACACCGAATCCCTTGGGAAGATTCCTCCCTCTCATGAGACCTTCCCTGGTACCACAGATTTCAGAGGCGGTATGGTGGGCATTTGGGACCAAATGGGCCTCTGGCCTGATCTTGCAGGGCTCTTCTGACCTGTTACCTCTTCGAATCTCAAGAGTGCTGACATGCAGAGTTCACCCTTTACATCTTCACAACAACCCTGTGAGGTAGGTTAGGCTGGCCCAAGGTTACTCAGTGAGCTTCATGGAAGAAAGGGGGACTTTAACCCAATTCAAGCCCACTTAAAATAAATAAATATTTCGCACGTATACCAATTATACAAAGTTATATTCATTCATATAAAATAAACAGAGCAGCAACTTACAAACACTACACTTCAAGCAGATATCCTTATACTTCCCAGTTACTTAGATAACCAGCAATACTAGTCCTTTCTCAGTCTCTCTCCTGCACTACACTGACTCTGAAAGATTGCCAAACAAAATTGTAATGACTTTTTGAGGAAGTGACTTGAGGGTTGCATCCGAAACAGACAACGACAACACAATAATTCTTTCAGGGTACAGGTACTAGGCCAGCAGCTAGATGACAGAGCACAAGAGTGTAATACCCTCCAGATATTATCTGTATCAGAAGAAAACTATGAGCCCTGGTCTCCTCCCAGTTCCTCATTATGACTCAGCAACTACTCCACTGAGTCATCATAGTTATACTGAACCCCAAGCCAATATCTGAGGAGAAGCAGAACTCTAGGATCCATTCCAGAATTTCATTATTTTATTATAAAATTTATTATTATCAGTCTCTGTCTCTCTTTCGCTCAGGTGTCTTCATAAGTAATGTGGATTTTCTTGATCTGAAACAAGACTAAGATTCCCAGTTTAGAACACACACACACACACACACACACACACACAAACAAACAAACAAACACACACTTTAACTCTTCAACAGTTTTATTCAAGCAAACATGTGAAACACTTTCAAGGCTTTGAGAAACTGGCCCTCACCAATACATTTCAGAACAATGTATTAACTCTTGACTAGTTGTAATTATACCCTTCTTGTCTGTTTACAACATTAGCAGCTTACTATTATCCAGGGCAACAAAGCACATATCTAGCTTACAAAGAAATACCTATAGTAGAACTTTATGCTATACTCTAAGAGTCTCACTCTCTTCCAATAAAGGCTGAGATTGAAAGACTCAGCAGTGGAGAACCTATTCTACTCTGCATACAGAAGGTCCAAGGTTCTATACACTGGAATCTCCTGGCAGGGTTGGGAAAGACTCAGAGAGAGCCATGGCCAGTCAGTATAGACCAGTGGTGGCCAAACTTGGCCCTCCAAATGTTTTTGGACTACAACTCCCATCATCCCTAGCTAACAGGACCAGTGGTCAGGGATGATGGGAACTGTAGTCCCAAAACAGCTTGAGGGCCAGGTTTGGCCACCACTGGTATAGACAGTACAGAGATAGGTAGACCAATGGTCTGGCTCCTTGTAAGGCAGCTTCCAATGTCCCTAACCTGTGAGTGACACCAGAATTATACCTGAAGTTCATTGTGGACAAGCATCTACTGGGACTATTTTGAGTATCTGCTTTCCAGGCAGAGCATTGGAGTACATAGTTTCAAAGGGCACTTCTGACCCTTAAGAAGTCACTGGGTCGGACTTGGTGGTACTTAGGTCCCCCTGAAATCACTGTGAAAAGATTGTCTAAGTCACATTGATTCAATGGGAACCAAGCGTGACTAACATAAACTAGGTTTGGCAATTACAACTGCCTGATAGCTCAGTTGGTAAAGAATGAGACTCTTCATCACGGGGTAGTGGGTTTGAGCCCCATGTTGGCCAAAAGATCCCTGCAGTGCAGGAGGATGACCCTGGTGGTCCCTTCCAACTCTTTTATTCTACGTGTATAAGATTGAGCTGTCAGAGCCTAGTGCAACAACAAATGGGCTTGACTCTGTGTTGGATTGCAGTCTATGACTTCAGGCCTACCATCTTTTTACAGAGCATTTTGCAAGAAGGTGAAATTAACGTGCATACTATCAGCCTGCGTTCCCAGGAGACTGCCAATGTCTTATTATCAAGAAATGTTTTTGTATAGTTCCTTCCAGCTAGCTCCAACCTAGACAAAGTACCCCTGTCTTGCCATCGCTTGTGCTGAGTAGTGGCAAAATGTTTCTCCCACAGAGTACTGCAGCATTGTCAATAAAAGTGAATGGTGCTCACTCTTCATAATTTAAGAACCTACAAGCAATTTATCTCTTTTAGGCAGCCAGAGAGGGAGGGGGAATCTTTCTCTTACTCGTATTCTTACATAGAAACACAGGAAGCTGCCTTACATGGAGTCCATCTATCTCAGTATTGTCTCTACTGACTGAAGTAACTCTCCAGAGCTTCAGGCAAGGAATCTTCCCTAGTCCTCCCTGAAGATGTTGGGAAATGAACCTGGGTCCTTCTGAATGCAAAGCAGGTGCTCTACCACTGAGTTACATTCATTCCATTAAAGAATATCTAATGTAATGAATGCTATCCAAGTGCTTTGCTAATATCTGGGTACCTTTGTGCAGATATTAGCAGTCTAAGAAACAAGTCCTCTTTTTCCACCTTGCTGGAATTTAGAGAATATGCTTCCTGGCCTTTCATCCTGTGCTACAGGAGCAGGCACAGAGAATCATATAATTATAGATTTGGAAGGGACCCTGAGGATCATTTAGTCCAACCCCCTGCCATACAGAAATATGCAACTGACCAAACAGGGATCGTACCTGAATCCTTGGTGTTATCAGCACAGTGTTCTAACCAACTGAGCTACCCTGCTCCATCTCACTGCAGCTACCGTGACCTCAAAGTTCCAGCTGACGTGGAACTTTTAGGGGGCCTGGCCCCTTCACTGAATTTTTTTGGGGGACCTACCCCCATTCCCCCTACCTGGCGCCCCTGTGCAGGTGGGGTAGCATGAGGAGAGGAGAGAAAGGGGGTGGAATTGCACAGCATTAGAAACAACCTTTAGTTTCATGTTGGTGTGAAAGGAGAAGTGGGTATTACCAAGTCAAACTGGTGTGAATGGAGATCCAATCCCAGTCTCTCATGCCCATGAAATATTGCTTTGTGCAGCATATTTTAGAGAGCCAACATCATTTCACCCTGTCATAGAATGAATGGCTATTAATATGCATCGATTGATCACTTAGCAGTAATTGCATCTGCTTCATTACGTGGGGAGGTAAATGTTCCTGTTCGAAACTTTTACTTAGAACTGGCTGTTGAAGGTAAAACCTGCAAGCCAGTAGCTTAGGCAATAAAAATTTGAGTAGCTGCAGAGTCTGTAGTGGCTTTCTCAGTAGGATTCGGGAAACCATTTCTCCCCGTTGATATGGAAGAAATATGGAAGCCAATTTGCCTCAATAGCTGAATAATAAAATCTCTTTCACACAGACATTTCACCACACTGCAGTTTGTGTGGGGTGTGAATACCAGAAGCATGGTGGGTGAGGCCAGTTGCCTGGCTGTTTTCCACCTGGGTGTTGACTTCTTTCCCAGCCCAGTGAGGACCGGATGGGTAAAATCCAACCAAATGGCCCCACCACCATTGTCCTGGCACTTGAACACACACCACAGTGTTGTTGGATTTCGCAACAGGGAAGAGCTTAGAAACAGGTGTGAACAAGGCTTAACTCATTCCTGCTTTACTTGATGTTCACCTGTGGTTTATTCTGCACCCCAAGGGGGTTCAGAAATGCCTCAGTTTGGTCTAATAGCTTTGGCTGTTTGAGTCAAAGCTATTCAGACCATTGGGGGGGGGGGATTATGAAATTGCTCACCACGACAGGCAAATTCTTCTCCCCCTAAAGAGAAATAGATCTTGAGCTTTCCCAGAAGAATGGAACGAGGCAGTAATTTTGAAAGTAATACCAGCTCTCTCCACCCCCACCCTGCCCCACTTCCACCCATGCTCATGCCCTGCACGCTATAGACTTCTTTGCATTCGTTTTTCTTCTTTCAGACACCGTTATGCTTCAACAGTCTTTGTGCACCTTTTTTGCATGAATACCAAAAATACAGTTTCTGAAACAGGATGCTGTCTCGTACAAACCTGGACCACTGTCTGCACTGACTGGGATTTCCAGGTTTTCAGACATGTGTCTTTCCCAGCACTACTTGGGGAAGCCAGGGATGGGACATGAGTTTGGGTTTGGGGGTTTTGTTTGTTTGCATGCAGTGCATGTGCTCTTCCACTGAGTCCTGATGACCCATCAGCACTTGAAGCTGATAGGGTGCAAAGTGCAAGCCATAGATGTGCAAGTCAGGTGGCTTTTAAGTTTTCGCTTCTAGAGATGAATTCAAACGTTGAACAGAGTTTGCATGAAGAGTACAAATCAGGTGTTGTTACTAGTGTTCTTTCACCACCTCCACTACACCCTCTCTTTGCTGCCCAGCAGAACTCTTCTGGGTGATATCTTCAGAGCTAGATATCTAAAGGACTAGCCGCCTGAGAAACAGTTTCTATTCAAATGCGATTTTGGCTTTAAACGCAGTGTAAGGTAGTCTCTATGGGAGTTTATTGTATTAATTATGGGATATCAGAGTTTTTAGGGGGCTAACCAGGCTGGGATAGCTGGGATAGCAGGCTTGTTGGTTTCTGAATGTCTGGTGTAGATTTTCAGTTTCGTTGTTCTGTATGGGACAATGACAATAAAGATTATCGCATCGTGTCATAAAGAGCTGTCACATGCAGGATGGAGCAAGCTTGTTTTCTCCTGCTCTGGAGGTTAGGACCTGAATCAATGGATTCAAGTTACAAGAAAGGAGATTTTGACTAAACATCAGGAAGAACTTACTGAGAGTAAGAGCTGTTCAACAGTGGAACGGACTCTCATAAGAAGTGGTGGACTCTCCTTCCGTGGAGGTTTTTAATCAGAGGTTGGATGGTCCTCTGTTGTGTATGATCGAGTTGAGATTCCTGCGTTGCAAGGGGTTGGACTAGATGATTCTCGGGCCCCTTCCAAAGCTCTACGATACTGTGATTCTATGATATAAAGCAGCTTCCGGTTCATGGAAGGCTGGCAAACTAGTTCAGAAAATAAACCCAGTTATTTCTGACTTTTCCAGAAACAGCCTGGTTTATTTCAACTCGAGGCAAGTGGGGGCAAGCTCATCCATCTCTAGCCTGAGTTCCACTGCTGTGGTGCTAATGCCTTTTTCTAAAAGGTTCAACAAGAATCTGTAACATTTCTCTGCTTGTGAAATTTAATAAAGAAGGCAATTATATTGTTTGCCATCAGTAGTTGGCCCATTTATGGCCGAACTCAGCAGAAATATATCCAGCTCCCAGTGAGAGCCAAGCACCTTGCAAAGCACATAGGATACTTTTTTTACTTTAAAAGCTGAGTGTAGCTTTATGGAAATTTCTAATTAGGAAAGAGCCATTTATTGGACACACGCTGAAAAATATACTTACTTCTTCTTTTTTTTTTTGAAGGGCTGAAGTGCATGATAAGTTCCCGACCCTGTCCTATACATTTCGTATTTTATCTATAACTTTCAACAAAGGCATATTTCTGTAGTTTTGCTTGAGTGTGTAAATGAACACATTGGGATCAGTTTACCTGTGGGATCACCTCAACCCACTCAACCACTTTGGTGTGTGAAACCGGTGCTTTTATAGGCGACAGATAATATTCATTCCACACTTCGGGGGGGGGGACTGATTTTTTTGGTGTGACAGCACCTAAACTTTGGAACGCCCCGCCTATTGACACCAAGCAGGTGGCCTAACTTTACTCCTTTCACTTGCTTGAAACATTTGTGTTAAGACAAGCTCTCCGGACAAATACCGTATTTTTCGCTCTATAGGACGCACTTTTTCCCCTCCAGAAATTAAGGGGAAATGTGTGTGCGTCCTATAGAGCGAATGCAGGCTGCACGGCTAAGCCCAAAGCCAGAACAGGGAGACGGAGCGCTGCCCCTCTTGCCGCCTTCGCGCTGCTCCCTGACCTGGTCTTTGAGGCTGGCGGTGGGAGAAAGCAGTGCTTCCCCCCACCGCCAGCCCCACAAGCTCAGGGGGCAGCGGATCTTTGAGGCTGGCTTCCCCCCACTGCCAGCCCCAAAGAGCAGGTCAAAAGGAACCTGAAGCCTCCAGAGCCCAGAGGGAACTACCGCCGAGCTCCAGAAGCTTCGGGTTGCCTTCACTGAAGCCTGGAGAGCGAGAGGAGTCAGTGCGCACCGACCCCTCTTGCTCTCCAGGCTTCCAAGGTAGCCACCTGAAGCCTCCCGCTGCGCTCTGGAGGCTTTGGGTGAATGCACCTTGAACATACCTTGTTTTACAGGGGGAGAACAAGAAAAAAAAAATTTCCTGTTCTCCCCCTCCTATGGTCCGGTGCGTCCTATGGTCCGGTGCGTCCTATAGAGCGAAAAATACGGTAGATGTTGATGTGTTTTAATCTCTTTTTAGTTCACTGTTATTTTTATTACCTTTTAAATGCTTCTAATTACTTGTTTTTAGTGATAATTTTAATATTTCTTATGAGCCATTTAGAAGTTTTAATGCAATATGGATAAATGTTGCAAGTCTATTTTGCCGAGGCTATTCTAGAATAGCACCAAGAGCACGTTTTTCAACAATGTGACGTCTGACAACTTCTTCTTCTAGTCAACTTTTTCTTGGCATTTTTCAGGGACAACAGCTGGCGTCTTAGTCCTCCTACCTCCTGCAAAGGGATCTGTGGCTGTAATTTCAAAAGCTTCGAAATGTGGAGGTTGGATGGCACCGTCATGACCTTTACCTTCAAAGCAGAAGACTATCCATTCTGTTTATTTTTCCTGATCCCAGAGATTTCCCTGTTCCATATGCTTATCCCTTAATAGGCCATTCATGTATAGAACTGGTCCTTGCCGCATTTGTTCTTGGCCTTGATATTTTCGGCATTTGCCTTTTCTAATCCCTCACAAATCTTCTATCCTCTAATCAGTAGGCAAATGGGCATCAACAAATTGTACAGTAAATACATCCTTAGGCAATCATAAGCCGTTGGTTATGTAGGATGCAAAAAGAAGACGTTGGCTTGTCCCCCCCCCCTTTACCCCCTGTTTTTCCTTTAATGTCTACAAATTTCTTTGAGAAGTCCTGGGCCTGCAGGAATCACAGCAGATTGCACTGTTCCAAAGCAGCCTTGATAATCAGAAGTCTTTCCAATTCTTAGAGCAGTTTAGAGTTGTTGGAAGAATTAGCAAAATGTGAAAGAATCTCCGGCCTTAGAATATGTTGAATAAATACCTGCCAGGACTGTTTGAACTATAGTAGACCTGCACAATTTGTGATCTGCAAAGCCTACTGAAGGATACGGTAAGTTGATACCTTCCTCATTCGCCTGTATCTTTTCTCAAAAAGTGGGGGAAAGCCCAGGGCTCAGTGGTTATGCTTTGCTTGTCCCCAAGTTCAGTCTTTGGCAGCTATTAATGAAGTGGATGGGACGCGGGTGGCGCTGTGGGTTAAACCACAGAGCCTAGGACTTGCCGATCAGAAGGTCGGCGGTTCAAATCCCCGCGATGGGGTGAGCTCCCATTGCTCGGTCCCAGCTCCTGCCAACATAGCAATTCGAAAGCACGTCACAGTGCAAGTAGATAGTGAGGAAAGTCTTCTGGGCTGAGACCCTGGACAGCCACAGTCATACCTGCCCCAGAAAAAACAGGACATCCCATTTTGGTTGCTGTGCTCTCACCCCCAAAAGTACTTTTTTGGGAGAGTGAGGCATGGGTCACATGACTCACCCAGGAGTACATCCCGGAAGAAGCGCGTCACAGTTTTGGGTTTCTAAAAGTTGGACAGCATGCACTGCCAGCCTGTGTAGACCAGCATAGGTGAGATAGGCTGGAATCAAGACCCTGACTGCACAGGACCATAGGCAGGGAGCTATTACCCATGAGATTTCAAGCAGTTACCATGTGTTTCATAGTCATGTGCTTGGCCCCAACCCTGAATGCGATGGAGACACTTTATACCTTTGCAGACCAGTGACTCCATAGCAATACCAAGAGCACACATGCAAGCTTGGAGCAAAAAGGCTTATTTGTTGAAGGCAAAACCTAGATCCATTGAATTCAATGGAAACTTTGCTGTTGATCTTAATAAGATATAGATTGCATTTGAAGCTGTTTTTATAGTTGTATTTTCCAACTTATATAGCTTATAGCATCTGCTCAATACTGGTTCATTTAAAGTGTTTTTAAGAGCTGTGTCCAGTGTTAATCATGCTCAGAACAGATCCATTGGAATTAATGGGCATGATTAACCAGCTGGAAGCTTGAGTTCTTCTGGGGCTGTCCTTACAATACTGCAAATAAATACCTAAGCCAGCACAAAATGCCTGTCAGGCACAGACTTATATGATACCTGGTGGTAAGAGTCAGCATGGCACAGTGGTTAGAGTGTTGGACTAGGACCTTGGAGACCAGAGTTCAAATCTCCACTCAGCCATGAAGTTCGCCTTGGACCAGTCACCATCTATCAGTCTAACCTACCTTACTGGGTTGCTGTGAGAGTAAAACAGAGAGCAGGGCAAACCATGTATGTCAGATTGAGCTCCTTGGAGGAAAGGTGGGATAGAAATGTAATAATAAAAAACTTATGTCCATTCATTTCAGTGGGTCTATCCAGAGTAGAACTTAGCTAGATACAAGCCATAGTCTGTACTTATACTTTGCTGATTAGTCATGTAACTTATTGTCATTATTAATCATTATTATCAGGACTAATTGTGGGCCTAATAAGGGGTAATTATCCCCAACTTTAAAGAGTGAAGAGTCAAAGTTAACTTAACTAGGAGAATATAAAACTAAATAATGAGACAAAATCTTTTACTACAAGAATTCAAAGCAAAGGATTTTATTCTTTTTTAAATGTCTACCTAGTTATAGTTCAAGGGACGCGGGTGGCGCTGTGGTCTAAACCACTGAGCCTTGGGCTTGCCGATCAGAAGGCCAACCTAGCAGTTCGAAAGCACGTCAAAGTGCAAGTAGATAAATAGATACCGCTTCAACGGTAAGGTAAACGGCGTTTCTGTGTGCTGCTCTGGTTTGCCAGAAGTGGCTTAGTCATGCTGGCCACATGACTGAGAAGCTGTCTGCGGACAAACACCAGCTCCCTTGGCCAGTAAAGCGAGATGAGCGTCGCAACCCCAGAGTCGTCAGGGATACCTTTACCTTTACCTTTATTTATAGTTCTTTTTTTGGGGAGGGGGGACCTCTGCTATTATCCTCTGCAAACAAGAAAAGTGGCAAAGTATTAAGATTGCATTGCTATTAGTCAGCAGTTTTTAGAAGTTCTGGAGCTATATGACATAAATATACATTTCCTCCTTACAGGTTTTCATTTTTGTCTGGAAATTGATGTGCCATCTTCAGAGTTCTACGATTTTACTTCTCCTTGTTATCCTCATTGTGAAATCATCCTGTCTGAATATGTAACTATTTTGGTTAGGAAAAGAAGAACTCTGAAACAAAAATGTCATTTCTATACACTGACTTCAAAGAGCTGCGTTAATTAAGAAGGTGGGAATGGTAAGATTTTAAAGGCTGATGGGAAGGTGACTGGGCAAGGAACATTCTCTCACACAGGATAGTGTGGAACGATGGTAAAATATTTCATTTCTGACCTTCCCCAGCAAAACCAGAGGTAGTTTCCTGTGTTGAGAAACATTTCTGCCTGATACCCCAGAAAGCCACTGCTGGTCAGAGGAGACAGTACTGAGCTCAATGGAGCAGTGGTCTGACTTGGTAAATAGAGCATTAAAATTAATACTACAAATAATAAGTATATAGAGCCCTACTCCGCCTTTTTCCAATTTGGATATAGATGAGTTTATACTCTTGGCAGTACTGATCCAGAGTTTTCAACTCAGCTTACCAATGGCTCTTATTTAGTGATCCAAATCAAAGTTGATAAAACCCTCACATATATTTTGAACAGCAGATTTTCTTCAAAGACAGTATTTTAAAGAGATAAGCAGCTACTACATTCCTTTGTCTCTTACAAAGGGGGCTCTTAAAAATACTTCCATACATTTCGTGTCCTTGGGATTCTCCAGATGAATACCTGGATTAACCTGATGATTTTATTATTTTTTAAAAAACTAAAGTGGAATGCTTTGATTACAGATGTTCATGTTGTGGTTTAAAAGGAAATGATTCCTAAAAAAGGAAAGCATTGTATCAGTCTTTGGTTTGCTTTTGATTATGGCATATTTTTGTGACTTCTAGGTAATTTTATTGCCCTGTTTAAGCAACTTCTGCCATTGTCAGGGTTGACCATATATATTGCACTTTCTATGCCTACAATCATGAACAGTTTATAATTTACCATTATCCCCGAAGATGTTCTTGAAATGAGATGTTTCATCTCAGTGGTCCTACTTGAACTGCATTTTCCAAACAAATAAATTAGCAGGCCTGTGGTATTGTTTTCAGGGTTTACAGGCTATTTGCATAGAAAGCTTTGTTTCTGGAAGAACCGCTTAAAACTTAATAGTCCTGCGAGCTACAGAAATACTGTTTTGGGGTTGATGCTTGGTGGAATGTATTTTGCATTATGGTAGGAAAGAAGCCTGAATAGGTTTCAGCCTCTAGCAAAATATTAATGACACCATTGCGTAGAATGACTGCAGTGTAAAATTAATCCCATTCTTACTATAAGTGACATTGTTTAAAAATCATAGGGAAGTCTTTTCTAGGAGAAGAGAAGGGAAACTGTCAGGTAAAAAAGGTAAAGGTAAAGGACCTCTGACAGCAGTGGTGAAGCTGCATGCTCTGCTACCGGGGGCGGAGAGCAGGTGGGGGCGTGACAGGTCCCTGTGGGGGCGTCCGGCGTGTGTGGGGGTGTACAGCGCGCGTCGGGGGGGGCTGCCACGATGGCACCCTACCAGAATAATGGTGCTGGGGATGGTCCGCTCCCTCCACACTCCCGTTCCTCTGCCAGTGCCTGACAGCCGCAAATGACTCTGGGGTTGCGGCGCTCATCTCGCTTTACTGGCCAAGGGAGCCAATGTTTGTCCACAGACAGTTTTTCCGGGTCATGTGGCCAGCATGACTAAGCCGCTTCTGGCGAAATCAGGGCAGCGCACGGAAACGCCATTTACCTTCCCGCCGGAGTGGTACCTATTTATCTACTTGCACTTTGACGTGCTTTCTGACTGCTAGGTTGGCAGGAGCAGGGACTGAACAACAGGAGCTCAGCCCGTCACGGGGATTCAAACCGCCGACCTTCTGATCGGCAAACCCAAGAGATTCAGTGGTTTACACAACAGCACCACCCAAATAATTTGCAGAAAAGGCAGAAGATCCAAAAGTATGAGGTTCTACCAATGGCATTCAATTTCTCTTTAATCCAAAATGACTCTGATTTTAATCCATACTTTCAAATGGCTTTAACTTTTTGGGGGGGAGAGGACCTTTCACGTGAACGATAACCATGATAATGAGTCAACCAGGAACAATTCTGGGCCTTTTATATATGTTGGTCTCAGTTCTGCATCTGAACCCTTCACTGAAATGTGAGCTTGATGGGAAAGCTCAAGTCAGCCATGAGGCCTTAAGTATTTCTATGCAAATTACCTGAAAACCTTGAAAAACGTGGCCTGAAAAGCCAGCCTAGGAATATCCAAGGGGAAAATATGAAAAATGAAAGAACAAGCTAAAGAACCAAATGTTACTGATTAACTTTAACTTACCAACTCTCATGATGGATGCTGAATGTGGATAGCCACCACAGTGATCATATAACCGTTGATCTGGCTATACATTGAGGAGAACTGCACAATTATTTACTTCCTAGGATTTCTGACTGGATGTAGTTGTGGGGTAGAAATTCAACTGACAACATGGGAACCCTACAAATGACTGCCGGGGTGGGTTGGGGAACATCTAATGAGGTGGAATGTTGAAGGTTTTAGGATAGAAGAAAGGAAGTACTTTTTACACACACCATTTTGTTAAAATATGGAGTTTATTACTGTGATATGTGGTGATGGCCACCAGCTCTGATGGCCTTAAGAGGGATTAGATAAATTTGTGGAGAATAAGGCTCTCAGCTGTTACCAGTTGCAATGACTAATGCCCACTACCTGCTGTAGTAAATTGGAAACATATTATGATACAGCCATCAGAACATGAGAATAAGCTGTAGCTTTGACCCAAATTATGTGTTACAGGGAAACACATAGGGGCCAATGATCCACATTCTCCTCCATATCTCCCTGGTGACATTTCATTGAAAGAATGTCCCGTGTGATGTCACTTTGCTAGCATTTTCCTGGCAGGAAGTGAAGAAACATAAGTGTAAATTATTCTCCCTAGCTTTTTATGATATCTGCTCTTGTCGTTGGTTTACTGCCAACCAATTCTGTTCCAGTGATTTATTGTTTCACTTGTTTTCTGATTTCAACGTGTTTGTTGCTTTAAAAATCCCGCGAGCTGCCCCTGACAGCCCTTGACTGAAGGACAGGATGGAAAGAGTTTAATTAATCAATTAATTACATTATGCCACAATGTGCCAGGGAGACGCAGAGAGAAACACAGGGTGGTGGTGGCCATACATGTCCCCAGAACGTGGAGTGTTGGCAACAGTGCCAAGTAAAGACTCAGTTGCAAACCCAAGTTTTCTGCTACATCATATAGAGCAGGGGCCCTTTTTCATATTTGGGGGCACATTTGCAAACCAGAGAAGCTGTCTTGGCCACCACACATTCCCAGCAACCAAGCACACATTACAACCTTTTCTATTGGCTATGGCAGAATCTTTCTTTCAACAGAATCTTTCAACTTCAGCAAGGGGAGGATGTGTTTTGGGTGCTGGAGGAGATCTCTTCATAATAATAATAATAATAATAATAATAATAATAATAATTATTCTGGCTGGGTTTTCCCACTCTAGTAGAGCAGAAGGCTCCTGGTTCAATCTCTGGCATCTCCAGGTAACCCTGTCTGAAATCCTGCAGAACCACTGCCATTCAATGTCACCAGCAATAATAACGATATGTACAATAATAACGATAATGGTGATAATTTTGCATCTCTGCAGCACGGAGCACCTCATAGAAGTTATAATAAAGAAAGAGGAATGTTTCCACCTTTGTTTAGTGCCAAGCACTCTCCAGCTCCCAGCCAGCATGCCCAATGGTCAGGGATGACATGACACTAAGGAGGTTAGAGTGTTGTATTAGGGTCTGGAGACCAGAGTTCAAATCCTCACTTAGCCATGAAGCTCACCTTGGGCTGGTTTCTCTCTCTCTCTCTCCCCCCCCCCCAATCTCACTGGATTTTTGTTGAGTATAAATGATAAGGGGGAGAACCCATGTACCTTAAGCTCCTGGGATAAAAGGGCAGAGCATAAAAGCAACAAATAAATTGTAGTTCAGCAGCAGTTGATATATGAAGTTCTCTCTCTCTCTCTCTCTCTGTGTGTGTGTGTGTTTCCCTTGCTGCCTCCTTCTTTTCCCTGTCTCTCCACCTTCACGCGCCCTGTCCTTTTGAAGATGCTACATTTGGTGCTCAGCAACCAAATGCTCCATGGTGGGATTTTTGTCCTTTGTACTCTGATGCGTACTCTGGAAAGAGTTACAACTCTTGATCTGCCCAGTTTTGCCTCTGGCCCCACCCACCACTGACACACGACCCCCAGAAGGCAGAAGACTGCTCTATGGAGTAGGAGATAACACACACCTGGAACAGATTCATGTCAGAGGCTGGTTTAATTGAGGCAGTCCTTCATAAAAAACAGTTGGGAACAGAGATTAGCCTTCTAATCCCATTCTGAATTCTGACTCTCTGGCTCTCTTCTTTCAGAGTCCTGAAATTCCAGGATCTTGGACCATTTATTGTAGATGTCTGCTGGCTTCTGCCCGAGAATGAAAACAATTTGTTCTGACGGGGGATAATCCCTTCGGAGGGTGCACCACCAGCTGGCCGTGTCAAGGGCCAAGGTGCATCGTTCCTAGAAGCAGGATGTGGTCATGTGCCAAAGACAGCAGAAACAAACAAATAACCATGTCATACCCTCCATCCAAAGTCTAGTCTTCCCACCATGCCCAAACAGAAATAAAAACAGGATGCGGGAGCCACATCTAAATCAAGCGTTTAGTGCAAACATTTCCACACCTTGGAATGATCTTTGAGTTTTTAAAGGGAAGAACACCCTGGGAAACATCTCATGGACATCTGGGGACATTTTGTGGCATCTGTTTTGCAAGCCGGGAAGAATAAATCCTACACTTAAAAGCATTGGGATCGTTTGCGCCATACGGCTGATGACAGTGAATTTCTCTCTCACTCACTCTCTTTGATATGGTGAATCCACAGTCAAATATCTAGCAGGGTTTGTCTCAGTCATCTTTAAGATGAACTCCCCACAGTGAGACAATATTCTCTTTCAGTGGAGGTCAGCAGGGCATGGCTTCTTGATCGTCGTACTCCTTCAGCCATTTACAAAAAAGGAGGCCAAATAAACAACAATAACAAGGACTTTCTGCATCCAGCCTGCTTTACTCTGGTGCAGGCAAGTTAATACAGTCTGAAGGTAATTTTTAGACACCTTTGGCAGGTGTCGGCTTTGAGGAAGTTGACAGCACACTCTCAAGATCAGACGTAAGATAGCTGGAAGGGATTGTGTGATTACTGGTGCTTCCAGACCGCTGCTATTTTTGGTGGGATTCAGTCACCTCACAACAAAATCAGGTTGTGCAACGATAGCTGACTGGGAGGTCTTGCACAACAAACCCACTTCCCCCAAAGATTAGACGTTTTTCAATAAAGAAAGTGACAGGAAAATGCAGTGGAAAGTGTAGGATGATGTTTGCTTTGAAGTAATGTTTAAATTCCCCACAAACAAAGTAGAATACATGCTCATTTAATAGTCGATGTTGTCTAATCTCCCTGAAAACAAATCGGAGTGAATGGTCAAGAATCAGGTCTTGGGCGGGACTTCCGGGGTGGCGCCATCGGTAATGGCGGACTCCCTCTGATCTGGAGGGACTAGCTCCACGCGAAACGGGTCTTTTCCGCTACGGCGAAGTGGGGACCCTTTCAAAAATCACAGGCCTGTGATGAAGCCGGTGACCATGGGACTTGGTGGGCACCCTTAGCGCCCCCCCAACCCGCAAAGGAACCCATTAACGGGCTCCGAAGCGAAGAGGGGGAAGTGGCGCGGTGCTGAGAGTCAACTGCTATTTCCGTGGAGCGAAGCCGCATAGCTGTTGCCGGAGAGCGCTGCCTTTTTCCTGGGACAATTTGGCTTCTAAAATAATCACCCGTGAGTACTTAAATTTCGGACAAGTGGACTTTAAATCAGGACTAGCGCGCAGAACGCACTTGGACTTAAAAAATTTACTTCAATTGGGCACTGAAACGGGAAGGTCTAAACAGGAAGTCAGCCTTCCGTTTCTTTGTAGACAGAATAAAGCAAAGACAACATAAACTAGAGCTCAGAAAATAGCTTCTAAAAGATTAACTTTCATCATTTTAAAATTGTTGAACCCCCCTTCGGAAGCAGGAGAATAAGGGGGATCTTTTTCGGACTGTTTAAACCTGCAGAAGTGAGTTTAAAGTAAAGTAACTTTCCACCGTCCTGATCCTGGAGCGGGGTGTCAGGACTGACGTCTTGAAGCTCATAGACCATAGACAAACGTTTTAGACAGAAAGCTCAAAGAAGAGAAACATAGAGATACCATTGATCCCCTTCGCAAAGAAAAGGAACAAATATTCAAACAATATCTCAAAAAGGAAACTATGTTGCTAGATTTATACTTTAAAAGAAAAGAACAAATAGAAGTTCTTCCCCTAGAGGGAGACTGTGAAACTGTAACTAATTCCGAGGGAACTCTGCAGCTGTTACAGATTACAATCGTGGGAATAGTCTTGTGACCGTGTAGGACAAAGTATTCGGAAGCACTGTGGTCTGATCACTGAAAAACAAATGCCCTACTGGAACAGTTAAAAGAGAAGACGGATTTGATGACTAATGCGGTCAGAAATATTGAACAGGCAGTGGGAAACTATATCGAGCCCACCCAGGAATCAAATCAGGAGTGTGCTCTGACAGAACAGATGAGAGACGAGGATGGTGCTGAACTTTGGGCTCCAGAGATGGAGCGAGCTGTGGCCCTGCAGGAACATGAGCTTTTGGACTTGACAAATGAACTTGGAAAAAGCCAGATTTGGAAAGATAAAGTTTGGACTGGTTTGGAAATGGGTGATTGGATAGACCCCCCTATGCAGGGATGTTTGGACTTTCCAAGTCTGGCAATGGGCCGTGAGATGTTTGGGGCTGTGGGGGCTCTTAATTTTGGAGGGATTCTGAAACATGTTTTCAAATACCACATGGAGTTTAGTCTGGTCTTTGGAAAAGGGGCTGATTTGTTGAGAAGGGTCAAAAACATTACCAAGCTGGAGTTCCCAACGAGTAGAAAGGAGAATATGAAGAAGAGCCGCGGAAGGGACATGGAAGAGACTTAAGGGCCTCGGATATAAGGTTACCAGGTTAATGCGCTAGATCAATGGGATAGAAAGGACTGACAAAACCCGGGACCAGGAGGAAAGGACGCTGGATGAAGATTGGATTGATAATTTGATTTCTTTTTTATTATTAGGATTGTTTTATAAAATTGATGAATGTTAGAAAAATGTTGGGACGAAATTACTTGGCTCTAGCAAAAATGTTCAAAGAATTAGGTAAGAATATGCTATGGTTATGAGAAGTTGGTAAAAATAAGATTTAAGTTTTAAGTTTTAAGGTTTTCTATAAGATAAGATGAAAATAGATTCAGGTAATGTAATGACAGAATATTATGAAAAATGGAAAGGATTTGCTGTGATAATTAACAACTAGGATACAACAAAAGGGAGGAGTGAGGAGGTCAATGAAAGAAGGCAATGACAGTTAAGGATTTGAGAATATTGGAGACTTCCGGGGTGGCGCCATCGGCAATGGCGGACTCCCTCTGATCTGGAGGGACTAGCTCCGCGCGAAACGGGTCTTTTCCGCTACGGCGAAGTGGGGACCCTTTCAAAAATCACAGGCGGATGAAGCCTGTGACCATGGGACTCGGCGGGCACCCTTAGTGCCCCCCCAACCCGCAAAGGAACCCATTAACGGGCTCCGAAGCGAAGAGGGGAAGTGGCGCGGTGCTGAGAGTCAACTGCTATTTCCGTGGAGCGAAGCCGCATAGCTGTTGCCGGAGAGCGCTGCCTTTTTCCTGGGACAATTTGGCTTCTAAAATAATCACCCGTGAGTACTTAAATTTCGGACAATTGGACTTTAAATAAGGACTGGCGAGCAGAAAGGAATTGGACTTAAAAATTTACTTCAATTTGGCACTGAAACGGGAAGGTCTAAACAGGAAGTCAGCCTTCCGTTTCTTTGTAGACAGAATAAAGCAAAGACAACGTAAACTAGAGCTCAGAAAATAGCTTCTAAAAGATTAACTTTCATCATTTTAAAATTGTTGAACCCCCCTTCGGAAGCAGGAGAAGAAGGGGATCTTTTCGGACTGTTTAAACCTGCAGAAGTGAGTTTAAAGTAAAGTAACTTTCCACCGTCCTGATCCTGGAGCGGGGTGTCAGGACTGACGTTTGAAGCTCATTGACCAGAGACAAACGTTTTTGACAGATAGCTAAAAGAAGAGAAACATAGTGATTCCACTGTTCCCTTTCGCATTTTAAAGGAACAAATATTGACAAAATATCTCAAAAAGGAAACTTTGTTGCTAGATTTATACTTAAAAGAAAGAACAAATAGAAGTTTTCCCCCTAGAGGGAGACTGTGAAACTGTAACTAATTCCAGGGAGCTTGCAGCTGTTACAGATTACAATCGTGGGAATAGTCTTGTGACCTTGTAGGACAATGTATTCAGAAGCTCTGTGGTGTGCTCTCTGTAAAACAAATGCCCTACTGGAACAGTTAAATGAGAAGACGGATTTGATGACTAATGCGGTCAGAATTTTTGAACAGGCAGTGGGAAACTATATGGAGCCCACCCAGGAATCAAATCAGAGTTTGCCCTGACAGAACAGATGAGAGAAGAGGATGTTGCTGAATTTTGGGCGCCAGAGATGGAGGGAGCTGTGGCCCTGCAGGAACATGAGCTTTTGGACTTGACAAATGAACTTGGAAAAAGCCAGATTTGGAAAGATAAAGTTTGGACTGGTTTGGAAATGGGGGGGTTGGATAGACCCCCTATGCAGGGATGTTTGGACTTTCCAAGTCTGGCAATGGGCCGTGAGATGTTTGGGGCTGTGGGGGCTCTTAATTTTGGAGGGATTCTGAAACATGTTTTCAAATACCACATGGAGTTTAGTCTGGTCTTTGGAAAAGGGGCTGATTTGTTGAAAAGGGTCAAAAACATTACCAAGCTGGAGTTCCCACGAGTGAAAGGAGAATATGAAGAAGAGCCGCGGAAGGGACATGGAAGAGACTTAAGGGCCTCGGATATAAGGTTACCAGGTTAATGCGCTAGATCAATGGGATAAAAAGGACTGACAAAACCCGGGACCAGGAGGAAAGGACGCTGGATGAAGATTGGATTGTTTTTATTTCTTTATTATTATTAGGCTTGGGGTATAAAATTGATGAATGTTAGAAAAATGTTGGAACGAAATTACTTGGCTCTAGCAAAAATGTTTAAAGAATTAGGTAAGAATATTATGGTTATGAGAAGTTGGTAAAAATAAGATTTAAGTTTTAAGTTTTAAGGTTTTCTATAAGATAAGATGAAAATAGATTAAGGTAATGTAATGACAGAATATTATGAAATATGGAAAGGATTTGCTGCGATAATTAATAACTAGGATACAAAAAAAGGGAGGAGGAGGAGGTCAAAGAAAGAAGGTAATGAAAGTTGAGGATTCGAGAATGATGGATTTGTTTTTATCTGTTTGTGGTGTATTTTTGTTTTTGAATCTGCATTGTTGGATGTGGTTTGTTTTCTCTTTGTTTTCTCTTTTTTCTTTTTCTGCTGTGTTTTTTTCTGTAATTTTAAAAATTTTCAATAAATATCATTTAAAAAAAAAGAATATTGGATTTGTTTTTAAATTTTTGTGGCTTACTCTTGCTTTTTGATTGTGCTCTGTTACGTGTTTTGTTGTTATTTTTTTATTTTTATTTTTATCAATTTGTATTGTTTGATTGTGGTTTTTTTCTCTCTCTCTTTTTCTTTTTTGTTTTTCCTGTAATTTTAAAATTCTTAATAAATATCATTTTAAAAAAAAAGAATCAGGTCTTGGGCAACTATGTCAATTTTGGTTTCTCTCAGTTTTTCATTTTTAAAACTTAAATTCAGTTCTCCATATTTTACACATCAGTTTTAGCATTTATTTATTTTTAAAGTCCTCATGAAAATTTATTTATTGCATTTATATCCCACCTTTTCCTCAAGATGTTCAAGGTGTCGTACATCGTTCTCCTTCTCATTTTATCCTCACAATAAGCCTGTTTACACCAACCCCCTCCCTCCAAAGATGGCCGACAGCAATGGATCATTTGGGCAAGAACATTTTTGAAACTTCAAGGTTGCTTGCAAACTTAACACCATTGCAACACATTCTTTTGTGCTTTCCGAGTAGTTGATTAGCTAAAATCAAAGTGGGGGAACCATTGTTTTGCAGCAACTAAAACTGCTTGTTTGATGTATATCTACTGTCTTCAGAAAGGGCTGTGCACAGTGACTCCCCATCCACATGCATTGCACCATCTTTTAAAGCCTCTTAGCAGCACGGAAGAATTCACCCTTCCCAAGTTGGGAGTGTTTACCTTGAAGCTGACTGAATTCACCTTTAGCCGATCCCAGCAGATGGTTTTGCATTAAACATCTTGCTTGCTTGAGAAACTTCCCTTGCGTACTGATCCAGCAACACACCACACCTTTTCTGCAATGTGCACAACTCCAGATAAGAATTGTGAGTGGCGATTCATGAATTGTGTAAGTTCAGAGTTCAGCTTGGCCCAGCTCCCTGAGTCAGGCCAGATTTGGGGTTATTAAAGAAAACATGCCAAACCACAGCATTACCTTATTCCCACCTGCAATCATAAATATATCCCATGTTTCTTTAAAGTTTTGAGTTCACCAAAAGGTTTAGGCGGCTCAGTGAACATTTTCTTTTTTTTTTTTTAAATTGGTTTTTCACATTTTATAAAGACATAACACACACGTAAAAGACAAAGACAAAAAACATGTATAATTTCAAAAATCTTACTTTCTTAACTTTGGTCCTTGACTTCCCCCACCCCCTTCATACATCCCAATTCCCATAATTATGTCAGCAAGTTATTATTTTACCTCCTTACCCTGTTAATATTACATCTTTTGTAGAAGATTAAATTCTATCCTAAGTTGGGCTCAGATTCCCTTCCATCGATTTCCCATTTTTATTAAGCATCAATCATATTGACTGGACCCAAAAATCGTAAGTGTTTTTAAAATTCTATTTTCCCCCTCCCATCCCCGGTTCGTCCCTTCCCAAGTACATTTCTACAATAACAGTTCTTAGCCTGGATTTCTCACATCCGAGGCCTTCAAGTCTCTTTCAGTCCCTCTCCGCCGGTTTTGTTGGTAGTCCTTTATGTTGGTCTTCGGATCTCGAAGGAGTTCTGTCCCAGTCAAGCCAGATTTTCTTCCCACAAGAAAACTTAGAGACAACTGCTGCAAAAGTTCCACCAGTCCTTCATATTCAGAATGGAGGCCCCCATCATATTTCTTCTTTCTTTTAAGTTCTTGAATTCCAAGTACTCCAGGGGCCTCCTCCTTCATCTTTCGCATCTTTTGCAGATTTGTAATCCATGTAATCCAAGGGTCTTCTTGTTTATAATCCACATGTGTAGGCTTCTGGTTGGTACTTTCCATCTGTGCTTTCTCCTTTCCTTGTTTAGTCTCCTTCAATTCTTGAGATATCTGTTCCGGTTCAGCTGCAGATTTTTCTCATTCAGATCCTCAATACATTCAGCAGAGCTGCTTATTCCAGAAGTCAAGGTCGTAAGTTGTTTATTCATAGCCAGACTCTGCTCTTGTAAAGTTCCCACAAAGTAACACATTCTTTCTATTTCAGCTAGTAAATTTCCATCCGCAGCCATTGTAATGTCTCAGAATTCCCCTAGAGGGAATCTGGTTACTTAGTAATCTTTTCCCAACAGTCCTTTGCCTCGTTCTTTGTTTCTTTGTTTCGAACCACTTTAATTCAATTGTATCACATTTAGTCCAGGGAGATCTTAAATAACACGCTTTTTACTTTAAATTGCCCGTTTGACAGCTTTAACAGCTGTCAAACTCCTTTCCTCTTCAACAGGCTCAAAGGCAGGACGCTCCCGGGCCCGGAAGGGGGGGGTTACACACCACAAGAGAAAAACTTCTAAAATTCCACTCTTACACTCCAGCTCAAAACTTCTTTTATCAAATCGTGAAAGTTAATGTCTTTTTAACTCACCCCAAAGGGGTAGACTCTCCAACTTAGTTCTCCTGCTATTGCTTTAAGTCGTCTGCAGAAGGGGGGGATGCGGACTTCCCTTTAACACATCCCCCGGTCGTATCAAATTCACAGATAGATATTTTAAAGTCCGAATTCCAATCTACTCACGGGTTGCTTCTTTTCGAGTTCAATTTAAGGAAAAAGTCAGTGCTCTTCAGCCATGGCACACGGCCTCGCTCCGCTGGGGTAGCGGTCTACTCCCAGCACCACGCCGCCTTCCGTACCCTCTCCGTAGCCTTTAAAAAGGCTCTTCGTGGGTCGGGGGCGCTTAAGGTGCCCACCGAGTCACCAGGTCCGCAGGCATCCGCGCCTGCGGTTTTTGAGGGTCTCCGCGTCGCCGTCGCGGCAAGACCCGTCCCCAGCGGAGCCGATTCCCTCCGGAGCTCGGAGAGAATCCGCCATTAGCTGTTCGCACCAACCCGGAAGTCCAGTGAACATTTTCACTGGAGAAGTCCCATTAAAACAAATGGAATTGCAGTAAATGTCAGCTAGTCAATGGAATCATTCCTTTGTAAAATTTGGCCAGAGTTCAAAGTCAAATTCTAGTCAACTGGGTTCACGCAGTTCAGAGGTGCAATAAAGCTCAACTTGCAGTGTAGAAGTAGGACCACCCTGAATTCATTTCTGTCCAAAAGGCAGAAGAGCTCCCAAAATCTGTGTGGCTGCCCTGTGTGTGGTGAATGTGTGAACTGCAGTTAGCGGTCTTCTCCATGAAGAACCTTCTGGACTGACTCCACCCACCCAACCTGACCCATTGCCTCTGGGAAGGAAGGAGGATAAAGGGCTTCTTTTCCCAGCTGAATGTTGCTTGAGCAACAAGGCCAATGTGAGTGTTGTTGGTTTCTCTCACTTGTGTCTGTGGCCCTGCCTTCTGGTTTGCTCTCTAATCTGGGCTGGTCTTCAGTTCTGACTCCCACTTCCAGTCTCCCAACTCACTCCAGACCAGTCCTTGGAATGAACCAGGCCTTTTTGTCAGTTGGAACATTCCAGAATACATTCCGGCACCTGTCAGGTGGGCGTCATTGCCATTATAAGACAACAAGGATGGCATTCATGGTGAGTTCTGGCACCTTTTTTAATGTAGAAAAATAGCACTGGAATGAACTGATTCAGTTCAGCTAATTCACCAAATTGATTAAAAAATCTCTGAATTACACCTGAAAGTAGTTCTTATAATTTCTGGGCGAACCAAACCTTTTGTGATGGAACTTTGGGAAATTTTAAATTGAATTCCGTTTTAATTTTAATTCAATAATTTATATTTATACTTATATTTATACAATAATTAATACTTCTGTGATTGTGGCCTTTGCATCTGCCATTTTCACCTTATTGAAGAACGATGTTTAAGGTTACAGATCATGATTGTTGAGAAAAATAGATTAAAAAATTGTTCACATTACACTGAAGCTTTGATGCTTCCTTAGTATTCTTAAATATATTTTATACTTTAGCAGAGCAGCTTGTAAACTTAGGAAGGTGGGTGTGTTTGTGTGAAATACCATGTAAATGAGTTGTGAATTGAGCTGGAATGGAATTAGTTCCAATTTGGAAGGGATGAACTGGAATGGATTGCTTTTTAAAATGTACTTTCCCAGCACTGCTCCATAGCCTGCCCTGATCATGCTTTTCTTTGGAAAACTTTGTGCTTGGGGTTATGTGAAGGGCTGGCCTGCAGGTTAAGACCTGTGATGCCTCAGTCCCATGTAACAGCTATCACTTGATGCTGCAGCGATCACTTGGCAAGACTGTGTGTGGGAGCCGTCTCAAAGCAGTCCATAGAGATCTTGTGATCAGTTCACACATCAAAAACGAGGTGATATGCAAGGCAAGCCATTGGCATAGAGCTGCTTGTCCTATGGGTTCTGCAGTTTTTAACACACTGACCAAACAGTTCCATTTTGTGGTTTATGGATATGAGGCAAATATGGTTTTGCCAGATCTGGGCAGCAAGTTGCTATACAGGAAAAGCTGCCTTAAATAGCCAGCTCACTGCAATTGCTTTTAAGGCAGCTGCCATATGGCTATGTTTGTTTGTTTGCTTTGGAAGATTAGGCTTAGTAATTTCTTTCAGTAATTTTCTTTATATAAGTGAATTGTTTGTGATCTTATACATCTGCTGAAAATATTTGGCATGTGGCGTCCCTTCCTACTCGACTTCCAATGAAAATAGAAATGGGAGCAGAAATTGCCAATGTTTGTTTATTCATCCCATGTCCAGAACAGGAATCAGTTCCAATGACTATGATCAGTATTTACTGTTGTTGTTGTTGTTGTTGTTGTTGTTGTTGTTGCTGCTGCTTTCAGTCCGCAATTGATATGCAATTGTTTAGACACACACACCCCTTTTGCATTGTGTTTCCCTTAAGTTGAAATGAATGGGGTGGAATAAAATAATGACAACATAATTTATGTGCGTAAGTGCATTACGTAAGTTACATCACTTCACCACAGTGGACAGCAAGCAGAATAATGTGAGTTTGGGCAGAAGATGAATTGCAGCGGAATGGAAACCACGCTGCATACAATGGAGTGGAAATGATGCCTTCCTACATCCCTACACTCAGGTAGAGCGGACACTTATGGATTGTCAAAGAAACAGGTCATAGATTTGCATAAAACTCATATGTGCCAATTTATATGTATAGTTGCATACTTAGATATAATTACTGCAATTTAAATAGACATATATTTCATCTCAGCATAGTGGGGAACACTGTGGTCTTGCAGACAAATGTGTGAACAGCTGTTTAACCAGGTCCTGTTGATGGGCAACTTCAAAGCCCCTGCTCTCTCTCCTTACGGTTTGCCATCTTTAAATCAGACCTGGACATTTCAAAAAGGAGGCTGCTTCACATACTTGCACTCAGGTACTGCTTGTGGGCTTCCCACAGGCATCTGGCTGGCCACTGTGAGAACACGATGCTGGACGAGATGGGCCTAGATGTTCTTCTGTAGAACATGTGGCTATCCTACACTCAAGATACAACGGATTCAGACACCTGAGCTTTAGTAAATCCCATTCTAAATCTGGACATTCTTCCAAATCATACATGTACATATGGCTGTAGGAAAAATATTTGAATTACAAAATATTGCAAAGAGACGGATAGACATTATTTGAAATGGCACGAGATATAATGTATCCAATGGAGTAAATGGATAAATATCTCACTTCATATATATATATATATATATATATATATATATATATATCATTTGTCTTGGTTTGTATGCACAATATTTATTGAAGTTAGTTGGGGCGAGAGGGCAAGTTTTACTCACAATAGAAACACTGAAGTAAGGTCCACTAATTTCAATGGGTCTGTTATGAGTAAAGCTTATTTGAAGACTGCCAATGATTGGAGAAACCCAACAATCACAGCTTTTCCTTCAGCCCTGCTCAAAGGGATGGAACCTGCAAGAAGGAAACTATTAACTAACATGGCAGGGGACCTTGGCTGAATGAGACTGAGCACCGAGTAGATAATTACAGAAGGATCTTGGCCATCAGAAGGGCATTGCTGGATGCAAACTACTATATAAAGTGGTATGGACCACCAAACTTTTAAAATTCTTCTTTGAGAGGATGGTGGAAAAGGTATGGCCCTGTAGTTCTGAAGGACCCCTATATGGAAGCAACCTTGGTCATTAGAGAAATGCAAGAACCCTTCTAGCTGGGTGGCACACTATTATGTGCAGGTGGACAAAGATAGAAGTTATGATTTCCTTTACATTATTCCTCAGCGTTGAGTTGTTGTTGTTGTTTATTAACTACCACCTGAGTGGGACCCAGGTGGCCAGGGCCTCCCCTGCTGTCCCACAGTGTCTGGCATTGGGGAAATGCACCAATCCTTTTCCTGGTGCGCCATCTGTTCTCCTCACCTCACCATCCCTGCATGCAAGACATCTGCTTTGTAACCTGATACAGCTCAATAGAAACGACATTGCTTCTGTTTCATCTTTTCCTTGAGTGCTAACCTAACAAAGGAAAGGCCACATATTTTTTTTACTTTCTGTTGCTTTTTTAAGACGGGAGAATTAAACCTTAAGGTTCATAAAACAGGAGCCCGGGTAACAAAGAAATCTCTGGGCTTCTCTTTCAGTTTTACAATTCAAGCTTAAAGTCATCCTCAGTGTGGACTTTGTGGGTCATGAAAAGATTTTTGATGGGAGTCTCTGCGTCATGACAATAGCGATACACTTGTTAGGATTTCACCAGCACAAATCAGGTTATTTATGCTCTGTCGATGTATGTGCTAGATATGCATGTCTACTCAGAGGTAAGCCTCAGAGAGTTCATCTGTTTCTTTATAAAACTGCTTATAGACCACCTTACGAGGGCACAGCTCACCCGAGGGGGCTTGCATCTCATAAAAACACACTGATGTTCAGAAGGCTGCCAATTTAAAAGCAGCAGTTTAACAAGCATTTTTAAAAACATAGGCTGGTTTTAAATAAATAAGCAGCAAAAAAGAAATGCAGCCCATTCAGGAACAGGCCTCTTGAGAAAAGCCAACCCTGCTTAAATATTTGAAAAGTTGGGGCTTCCTTCACCTCTACAGTGGTACCTTGGGTTAAGAACTTAGTTCGTTCCGGAGGTCCGTTCTTAACCTGAAACTGTTCTTAACCTGAAGCACCACTTTAGCTAATGGGGCCTCCCACTGCCGCTGCGTGATTTCTATTCTCATCCTGAAGCAAAGTTCTTGGCTCGAGGTACTATTTCTGGGTTAGCGAAGTCTGTAACCTGAAGCATCTGTAACCTGAAGCGTCTGTAACCAGAGGTACCACTGTATTTCCATCATTTATATCCTGCAGCTTCAACATAAACTTATATTTCCAGGGCAGCTAACAAAGGAGTAAGAAACAATAGAAGCGCAATTTTTTAAAATGTAGAAAATAGTGTGTATAACAGGTGTGGGGAACCTTTGGCCCTTCAGATGTTGCTGAATTACAAGTGTTCAGCAAAATCTGGAGGGCCAAAAATTCCCCATACCTGGTGCATGGGACTGTAGCCTTTTTTACAGTTCATCTTTGCTTAGGACCAATTTACCTAAGAGGCTGCTTCAGCTTGAATATTCCTGTCCAGCAACTGCACAGCTTTTCAGATAGGGCACTACTGAGAGTACCACTTGTCCCAGAGGTTCACGTTGTTGCTGGTGGTAGTGGTGATGGTGGTGGTTTGAATTCATACCCAACCCTTCTACAAGAAACTGGACTTTTAGTGTTGCAGCTCCGGCCCTCTGGAATCAATTACCAGCTGAAATTAGACATGGAGCCCCTGCAGATTGGTGTTTTATTGCAGCTGTATGAAGCAACATGTTCTAGACACGATAATAGGGCGTCAGTGGTAGATTCCTTCTACTTCAGTTTGATGTGCTATGCTTCCCCAGTGCTGTCTAGAGGGGCTATAGAGCAACAAAATTGGGACAAAAATGAACCAGAACATTTGTGCTATAGAAAGTTACGGCATGTTACCAGATACGCACTGATTGGAAACGAGGCAGTGTTTTGCAGCTGCAAACAGTATTCAAATTGTAAACCTGTAAGAATGTATTGTTGTAGAGAAGGTTTTAATCGTTTTTAGAATTTACATCATTTGCATTTTAATTTTATCCTGCTGTACACCGTTTTGATGGCCTCAGGCTGTGACGTGGTTTATACATTGTGAATCATCCCCATTATCCTGGGGTCTCCGCAAGAGCGGATAAAAAGTTTGCTGTATTAATGGGCCGTATACAAAAAGCACCGTTATTCTTTTCTGATCGGCAGCTGCTAAAATAAATTCAGTTCGAGGCTGTCTGCGGTCAAAGTGACATAATTTGTGATATAATTAAATACACACAACTGTGTTTAAATAACATTAAGGGTCCAGCTCAAAGCAAACCCAAGGCCGGAAATCAAAAGTAATATTGAACTTCCACTTTTAGGTCCAGCTGATGTGAATAAAAAGTGTGTTGTGGGTGGTGTGTTGGCTACAGCTCTACAACTGCTAGATTTAAGTAGGCCTGCCAGTCCCGTTCCCCCCTTTGCGGGATTCCTGGGATTTCAGCAGGTAGATGATATTCAACAGGTGAAGCATTCTGCTACACACATCCCTGGGGAATCCTAATAATAAGCTCTTTTAGTTTTATCCTTTGCAATACGTTCATGAGTATATAGTACACAGCGGTGAGGAGCAAAATTGGCAAGAAATGCAGCATTTCTCAGTTGTCTAAGTAGAGTTCTCTCATTCTGGCCAACTAGGATACACCATTCCATCTCTTGTTCCAGTCTCCAATCCACCATCACCATCCTCAAAAAGTCAGTATTCTGGACAGAGGGAGTATGCTCAGTCCTTGCTGGGTTATTCTGGGTTTTTGTTTCTAAATATATTTTTGTACTTCTGTAAGCTTTCTGCAAACCCCTCCCCACAAAAAAAATGCTGATGTCCCCTCCTCCCCTTCAGCTTGCGTAGTGTCATTTCCACTATAAAAATATCTACATGCAGAAAATGAGCTTGGTATTAGTGTATAGGATCCTTGGTCATAGATTTAATCACCAAACTAAAGAAATTTGGGGTAAACGGTTAAAACCAAGTGTCAGGGAACTGCCATCAGTACTGGAGGGAGAGCGCGAAAGCCAGAGGGATTCCAGAGGGCGTCCAGGGATCGGGAGAAGCAGCCCATCTTCTGGGGAAGAGAATCAGCGTAGCACCAGTGGAGAAGGGGGGCAAGTGGGGGAAGTGGCAAGGCAGTCCCATGACTCCTTGCCTGGGACCAGCGGGGAGACTAGGGGTCCTTCGTTGCCCACGCCCTCCCTGCGCAGAAGGCTTCCGCGCAGAGAGGGTAGGTGGAGACTAGGCGTCAAAGAACTTCTTTGCTGGAAGAAGTTTAAGAAACGCCCACTCACGGATTCTGCCAGCGATTGAGTCAGCCACGGGCGAGTGGCTGTCCGGACAGAGGAGGTTCACTTTGGCAGCCCAGCCAGGTGTTTGCACCCAGCCAGCAAGATAGGCACCTGCTTACGCACAAGCAACCCCCTTAGGAACCATTACACCAAGTAAATCAACTTTTTTTGCTCCTAGCAGAGGAGCAATTTTAATTTCTCCAAACTAGGAAGAAGGAAATTCATCAGGTAAACCTCTTCTTTCAATTGTTGCACCTAATATTTGTTAGGGAAAGCTTCATCTGCTGAATTTCTGCTTGTCATGTAGTTGTAAAAGGTACAGTAGCCCTTTAACGAAGCAGTCAATCCTGTCTCCGAGACTTAATACTGTATCCAATACCTGCCCTGCCCAGAGTCCTACTGAATCTTGAAATTCCCCAGTATAGTGGTACCTCGGGTTACAGACGCTTCAGGTTACTGACTCCGCTAACCCAGAAATAGTACCTCGGGTTAAGAACCTTGCTTCAGGATGAGAACAGAAATCGTGCGGCGGCAGCACAGCTTCAAGTTAAGAACAGTTTCAGGTTAAAAATGAATTAAGTTCTTAACCTGAGGTACCACTGTACACTAGGAGATAAGGCAGCATCAGCCTGTCCTTTTCATTAATCTCCAGTTATTATCGTTAACATGCTGCTTCTTATTTCAGTGATCTGAACTAAAAAATATGACAAATAACAAAATCAATACAATAAAAAAAAAATCCACATTTTAGAGCAGCGCAGAACAATTAGATGAAATCTCTTCTTGAACAAGAGCAGGGAAACCATTTCCAGCCTGAGGGCCAAATTCCATCACAAGCGAGTTCCCAGGGGCCGCATGACAACAGTGGGTGGGGCAGTGGATGTGACTCCCAGAGGCTGCAGTCCAGCCACAAAAGCCAGAGGTTTCTACACTTACATCCAAGCAAGCAAGAGGCCCTGTTAAGAGTCCAATGTCACATTCTAGTTAGGCAAAAGTTGTGGAGAGAGGCGTGGAGCAGGGCCAGTGAGGAGGTGGGGCCCGGGAAGGGTCCAGAGGGCTGAATGAATTGCTCTAAGTGCTCTGAGAGCCAGTGTGGTACAGTGGTTAAGAGCGGTGGACTGGTAATCTGGTGAACTGGGTTGGCTTCCCCGCTCTTCCACATGCAGCTGCTGGGTGACCTTGGGCCAGTCACACTTCTTTGAAGTCTCTCAGCCCCACTCACCTCACAGAGTGTTTGTTGTGGGGGAGGAAGGGAAAGGAGATTGTTAGCCGCTTTCAGACTCCTTCTGGTAGTGATAAAGCGGGATATCAAATCCAAACTCTTCTTCTCTTCTTCTACATTTGGCCCTTGAATCTGAGTTTCCCCACCCTTGCTCTTGAACATTTGGCTCTTTGGTTTGCTACAAACCAAAGCAAATAGCATATGGGAACCCTCCTAAGTACTAGCAGAGCATAGAAATACAGGGGACACCCAGCCCCAACCACCAACTACTCCAACTATGTGTGTATAGCATGCCCTATATTTCTCTAATGAAAATAGGGACATCCTGTTCCATAACAACAACAACAACAACAACAACAACAACATTATTTATACCCTGCCCATCTGACTGGGTCACCCAAGCCACTCTGGGCAGCCGCAACAACAACAACAACAACAACATTATTATTATTTATACCCTGCTCATCTGACTGGGTCACCCAAGCCACTCTGGGCAGCTTCCAACATATATAAAAACACAAAAAAATTAAACATTAAAAAAACTTCCCTATACAGGGCTGCCTTCAGAAGTGTTCTAAGGGCTGTACAGTTACTTATCTCCTTGTCTCGGGGATTGCATAACCATACCCTGCTACGTTTCTCCGATGAAGATAGGGACGTCCCAAGGAAAAGCGGGACATTCTGGGATCAAACCAGAAACCGGGATGGCTTCTGTAAATCCAGGACTGTCCTTGGAAAATAAGGACAACACTCTCACTTTTGCTGGTGCCTCCCCAGCTTAATCTCACCAACACTGAATGCTCTACTTAAGTTCCTCACTTTCTTCTACCAGGTGTAGGGAAACTTTTCCCAGGCCAGGGGAGACATTCCCTTCTGAGCAACCTTCCAAATGTAAATGTAAATGTTGCCTTTGCACAGTAGGTCAGTCCAAAGCCAACGCCCCTCTCATCCTCCATCCAGGCAAGGATGAGGCGTTTTTGGAGCTCAAGGGCACATTCCAGCCAGGCAAAAACTCAAGGGGTGTGTGAAGCTGGCCTGGTGGCCCGGGGAGAGTTATGTGGGTGGGACAGAGTGGCATGGGGGACTGCATTCAGCCCCTGGGTCGGAGGATCCTCTCCCCTGCCTCCCCCAATAGCCAGATAGCATCCTTGGGGTTCAGACAGAGAAGATGGGCAGTGGACCAGACCAGGGAAGGAAAGGCTGAACCGTGACTTTCTTCTACAGGGAGTGCCCTGTATCACCCGCCTTTTGGTCGAAGGTGAACCTGAGTCTTCTGGGGCCTGAGAAGTATGCTGATCCAGGTGGCTAAAGTGGGAGAGGCCACAGAACAGGCTGTACCACTTCCAGTTTCAAGGGAGTGGAGCCACAGCCAAACGGTTCCCCACCTTAAAATGAGCACCACTCAAATAGGGCTGGGCTCAAGCTTTGCTCTCTGGTGTGCTAGTTTTGCACTTACATAACATTTCAGAAATTTTTTATTGCTGCACAGCAAGCTCTGGAAGAGTACTGTATACCAGATCCTTCCGATCCCTTGGAGATCATTACATAACAACCCAGTATTTTATTAGCGTATAATGGCTGCATGGTAAGCCAGCCCACGCCATCTCAAATTCCAGCTCCTTTTGACTCAGATCCTTTTCTAGTGAATCCAGAGACGGCTCGTTGGGGATACTCTGTGTGGCAATACCTCTAATTCCCAGGCCAGATGTTGGTTCTGAAGCAGAAGCAAATACAGGCAAATGAGATGTTCATCCATAGCCCAAGTCCGAATGCATAATAGTTAGGGTGGAGGGCACTCCTGATCTGGTCCCCTCTCCCCCACAGAGGAGGTAGGATTGTCAGGAACAAGCGGGAGATGTTGGCATTCAAGTCAAATTCTTTGAATACATCGCCTGGGCTGTTGCCTTCTTTTTCCAGATCTAGCTGTACTGCTAGGGATTGGGGGCGGGGCAGAGAAAAATGTTTGATTTGCATTTTTATATGAACCTCCCTAATTTGCACTTTATGGACCAATAAATGAGCAAACTCAGCCATCCTTCAGAATTCACGCTTCTCTGAATTTTGCGGCGCCTGGTCTCCGGCCACAAGAAGTGCCTGGAAATTAGTGGAAACATAGTGTGCAAAATGACATTCCATTAGGAAAATGGCTTGCAAAATTGCATATGTTTGGCAACATTTGGCATTCCTAAAATCACAGAATTGTAGAGTTGGAAGGGACCCTGAGGACCATCTAGTCCAACCCCCTACAATGCCGGAATACGCAGCTGTCCCATATGGGGATCAAACCTGTGACCTTGGTGTTGTCAGCACCTTGCTCGAACCAACTGAGCTACCTTGTATACCGATCTCCATGCAAACTTTTAGAATTAAAAATCACATACTGATTATGAAACAGGGCAAGCTGAACTTAAGGTTGGAACAACGTGAAAGGGAGAGAATCTGAAATCCACAGCTTTATCCATTCTCAAAAGCTACCTTTTGCCAGCCTGACTATGCAGCACAGCTACTTATCAGAATCCCACCTGGACTAGGACTTCCTTCCCCACTTTGATGGACAGATTTAGAGGGCAAAACAGACACAAAACACCCCCTCCCTGTTTTTAGATTTTGGCAAAAAAAGACAAAGAAGCTAAGAGAGGGAGAGAAACATGTTGATCATTATTCTCTTTTTTCTTTGCCCTCCTCCCTCCCCGTTTTTCACCAAAGAGAAATGTGTGGAGAGAGACCAGGCGTCTTCGCTGCTCTCTGCTCACCTGCAATCTCTGTTTGCGTTGTTCTGTGGCAACATTGGTCCCCTGGTTTTCAGCAGCAACAGCATAAAAGCACTAGGAGAGCATAAACAGGAAACTTGTGTTTAGGTGGGAGTTCCCAGGAATTTTGTTCTGCTGACCACAAAGGCCATGGGAGAAAGGAAGTAGGAAAAACACTGTAAATACCTGGGTGACTAATAACTTTGTGCTGCTCAGCTGCCCTTTTTGGGACATGCATCTTTCTGTTCTTTCCATGCAGGAGGAGAGGGGAGGGCACCATCCAAGGAAGAGGCACAGAGACTTCACAGGTTTCTTGTCTTGGTGGTACTTAAATTCTCCCTCTCTGCAGTGCTTTGTGACTCTCCTACCAGATGCAGAGGTACAAAGTCATTTTACAGTGCCATCCCATCTACTCAAAGGCAAACAAGTCACACTGAGATGAGTGCGACACACTCCCAGTGTGTGTCTAGGATTGCAGCCTCAATCTTGCATAACACTAGCCTTATAAAATCCTGGGAGTTTCTGCACCAACAAATGTTTTAATGTAGGGTCCTTTGTAAGGAATGCTGAACTGGCCCAGCGGGAGCTGACCTAGGATATTGCCAGAGCAATGTAGTGGAAAACCTCAGCCCACTTTAAACATTTGCTAACCCACGCTGCCGATACAGGAAAACTCTTATAGCTGCTGCATGTGGGAGAATGTGATGTTTTTAAAAACCCTAACCTGCTGTGTGCAGGTAACCAGTGCATGCTGTCACCTGCAGTGCATGTGTTGGCAGCTGTAGCCTGAGCGCATGGGCTGTGCACGTGACGGTGCAGTGAATGCGGCAGGGACCTTTGGGGCGTCTCTCTCCGAGGACACGTCGCTGGCACAAGAATTGTGCCTGGGGTAAAGCAGCACTGCTTAAATCACGGAGAACAGAAATGCATTGAGATCAAGGTAACTCACACTGCATCTTAAGAGCCTTTCAGCCACCGACAGGCTAAAACTTACTCCTTTATGAAGCTGCTACGGTGGAATCGCTTACGAAAGATCAGTGGAAGAGCAAGATGGGCTTTGAGTTTCGCTCGACGTGTAGGATGCTTCTGTATTGCCTGCTACAGCAGGGATGGGGGACATTTTTCCAGGGCTGCACTTCCTCATAGATAACCTTCTGGGATTGGCATTCCAGAAGTGGGTGGAGCCAGAGGGGAAAGTGGGCGGAGCAATGGATGTAGGTTACATTTCAGCCACACAAAAGCTGTAGGGTTCTGTGCTGACATCTCTCTTCATCCTGCAAGCAAGAACCATTATCACAATTTGAGACTTTCCAGCCAAGCCAAAGTCCCCAAGGGGGCTGTGGGTGAGTGATGTTGTCTAGGGAGAGTTGCATGGGCCAAGTAGAGAGGCCTGGAGGTCCCTATTCAGCCCCCCAGGGCCAGCTATCCCCTCCTTCCTGAGCTACAGCATCTGCAGGGTCAGCACAGGATTCATTGCCATCTGTGCAAAATGACCATCCCTTTCATCCAGCAGAGGCTGTTGGCTGAGCCATGCTGACGGGGAAAGGGGGGGAAGGAGAACAGGATGTGTGGTGGAGTGGTGCTTAAGCTCTGTAAAGAGAGTTGCCAGCACTCGAGGCTACTTTGAAAGCAAGTTTATAGACCTTAAAACCTAATTGCATCATTGGAGGTGGGGAGCTTTCAAGTTAGAATATATTTAGATCCTGGATGAAATCCTTGCTCCCCTAGTAATGGTCTCTTGCCATCCCTTTGTTTCCCAAAAGGCACTTTGCCTTGGGAGCAACTGGTTGGCTGGCACATGAGACAGGATTCTGGACTAATGGGCCCTTGGCTTGCTTCAACAGGCCTCTCCTTGTCCTCCTGGAACAAGGAGGGCAGGGGAAAATATTCCAACTGCACACACAAGTACTACCTGGAATTCAAGCTACAGTCTTTCCCAGTCAGCATCCCTTTGCAATGCAATCCCCAAAGTGCCCCAAGTTTAAAAAGCACCTTGGCAGCTCGATACAAACTCTGCCAACAAGCAAACTTGCATATGCCCCCGAGAGACTCTTTTTCTCCTATTGGCAGATCTTTCACTGAGTCATCCTATTGTGCTTTACTGTTAGGGATGCTTTCAGAGCAGTTTAAGGATTCAAGGTAGATGGCTGACGATTGCAAAACCCGACACACAGAGAGAGAGCATTTTAAGATGACTTAAGGCTGCATAAGAGAAGCATCAGCCTCTCTCACACTCATGGCCCAAACAGATTTCTTTTGTCCTGCTGATCAAACAGTGTCCACAGGTTTTTGGAGCGTTTACCAAAAACCTGCATAATCTTTGAACGACAAGGAGAATAAAGTAGGCACATGCCATGGGCAGTGGTGCTGTTGTAACTGTACCATCAAATCTCTGGGAAAAGCTTTCTCTCACCTCACTGGTACTCTGTGTGCTGTTAGACAATAAGAAGACCCTTTGGTAATTTGTTGCCTACAAGCTGCGCTCTGTCTCCCTCGCCCAAGGATGTTACACTGATTCTGAAGCAGAGCATGTTGAACAAAAGGGCAAAAACACCCCGTTGCACTCGCATTGTCTAAGAGGATTTGGATGAAAGTAGCCAAATCTTCACTCCCCTTGTTTTATACTGAAGCAGCAGCTGGAGGTGGGAGTCATGTATCTCTTTGTATGAGGTTTGCCCATTAGATCCCCAAAGGGATTTCCATTGTTACCCAGAGGGGCCCTCTGAAAGGAGAGCTTTTCTTCCTTTCTTCCCCGGCTACGAGCACAGCTTGGAAGATGTTTTGTCTTTTAAACTGACCGGCAGCAGCTTTCGCTGATCTGCATCTTGCATGTGGCAGAGATGGGGAAGGAATGGATTTCGAAGTGGGGCCATCTGTACAGAGCAAAACTGGCAAATCGGGGGTGGTTCACGGGTCTCGGTGGTTTCCCTGTAAACACCGAGGACTGTCTGGCTAAACTGAAGACATCTGGCCAACTTAATTTAGAATGCAGGGTCTAATTTCACTGGAAGGCTCAGGCCCATTTGCCACCGAGATAAACTCCAGATTGGCAACACTGGGGCAGAAACTGTTACAGGCCTACATTTCAGTAATGAAGAAATTCACCTCCCTTGGGGGAGCAGATTAGTGCTGGAGTCACAGTATAGATCACCTTCAAGGAAGGAAGAAAAAAAAGCCAGTGGAGTCCAACCATTTTAGATACAGAGTGCAGGGGAAATGCTGTATTCCAGCTAACCAGGAAAGGGGGGATATAGGGGAGTGGGAATCCTATGGACTGGTGCTCATAACAGCTTTGACAATGGGTATTGGCAAATGAGTCATCTGTCTGGTTCAGTGTGGGCACAATCGGAAAACTTGCATATTGTATATATCCACACGTTTGCACAGAGATTTGGCTGGGGCTTGCTCTTTGGAGCATGTGGTGCCAATATTCCTCAGACCTTATTGGGTTCTGGTCTGTTTCCAAGCATGATTCAGAAGTGCTGGTGATCACCTGCAAAGCCCTAAGTAGTTTTGGAACAGGATATTGAAAGGGTTGTCTTCTCCTGTAAATTCCTGCCCATCCACTTAGGTCATCTATGGAGGTGCTGGTTTGTAGACGGAAAGATCTGTGTTGTGGAGATTTTGGGTGGTGTGCCAGATGCAGATCCCTGCTCATGGCAATGAAAGCAGCTAACAGATCTGCCATGAGCACCAGGTAGTTGCTAGGAATACAGTTGTACCTTGGAAGTCAAATGGAATCCGTTCCGAAAGTCCGTTTGACTTCCAAAACGTTCGGAAACCAAAGCACGGCTTCTGATTGGCTGCAGGAAGCTCCTGCAGCCAGTTGGAAGCTGCAGAAGCCCTGTCGGACGTTTGACTTCCAAAAATAGTTTGCAGACTGGAACAGTCACTTACGGGTTTGCAGCTTTCAGGAGACAAAACGTTCGGGAACTAAGCTGTTCCAAAACCAAGGTATGACTGTACATACACCAAGCAGACCCCAAGATGGCCATATGAAATTGACTAGATCAGATCAGCAGCTTTTGGTTTGGCAAATTTCCCACTTAGGAGGCACTCCTACGAGGAAGGGTTCCAGAGCACTGCTATGAAGTAGACATAGCCTTGTACTGCTTTTTAAAAGGAGCACGTGTTTAGATATGCAAATCTGGGGAAGTCGCCATCCTTTCCCATGCTTTTAAAATGCATTAGAAGAAGTTCCAAAGCTGTTTGGGGCTTGAGGAAGGGCACATGATGCGCACGACATTGAAACTGAATGGTACACCACTTCTTGCACTATTGCTGTAAAACACCATTGGCTCATTCATGGTGCTGCTTTGGGGGCTTCAGAATTCATCACAACTGCTTTGACAGGGTAAAATATATGCCACAAATGCAATGCCACAATGACTATTAAATGCTATTATCTGTACAGTGGTACCTCGGGTTACAAACACCTTGGGTTACAGACACTTCAGGTTACAGACTCTGCTAACCCAGAAGTAGTACCTCGGGTTAAGAACTTTACCTCAGGATGAGAACAGAAATTGCATGCCGGCCGCAGCAGGAGGCCCCATTAGCTAAAGTGGTACCTCAGGTTGAGAATGTTTTCAGGTTAAGAACGGACCTCCGGAACGAATTAAGTACGTAACCAGAGGTATCACTGTACATAGCTTTGGTCTGGTGCCTGATTTGGAGGCCCATGATGATGCAGCAGCCTTGCTGGGTCAGTACTTAAGACACAAGACAGCCTGGGAACCTGAGGTACGATGCTTGGAGTTCCATCATGGATGAAAAGCAGAATGTACACATAATGAAATAAAATAATAGCAGCTGGGTCATTTGATTGCTCTCAGATTTCATTCCTGATATGCCTTGTCCTTTTTACTATGTGCTCTGAACTTTAGCCAAATAAAATAAATATTTAATCAACTGTTTATCCCAGTTAATTTGAACCTTCTGTTCTTAATCTGTAAACACTAATAACAGACCAACTGGGTTAAACCCAATTCCAAAGCCTTTCAGTAAGATGCGAATGGCAAATCGACTATTAATGTTCTCTGCATACTGTGGGGGGAAAACTATTTAGCAGCGGCGCAGCTCTGGAAAATGCCTTTGAGCTTAAACCTGAGCAGGTTTGTAAAGCTATTGCGCTGAACAGAACTTACTTCTGAGTAAACATGCACTGATTGGCTCAGGCTGCATGTATATATCTTAACCTATATGGGTCAACCGAAAGCATAAGCAAAAATCTCCACTTGAAAAGATAGGCGACTTGACTGCAATGGGATTTGGAACCTTATGTGTATTGAAGGACTGAGGCATATTCATACCATATGTTTAAAGCACAGTGATACCACTTCAAGCAGTCATGGCTTCCCCCAAAGGATTATGAGAGCTGTAGTTTGTTAAGAGCACTGAGAGTTCTTAGGAGACCTTCTCTGCTCACAGAGCTACAATTCTGTGCCAACGTGGTGTCATGCTTAGAGTTTCAAACCAGGACCTGGGAGACCAGGGTTCGAATTTTCCCACTTAGCCATGAAGTTCACTAGATGACCTTGGTTCAGTCACTGCCTCCCAGCCCAACTTACCTCACAGGGTTCTTGTGGGGATTAAATGAGGAGGGGAAGAACCTTAAGAAAAAAGGTGGGTTATAAATGAAGTAAAAATAAATGGATACTTCAGAGGGAACTCTGGGATGGTGTGACCACATCTAGAGGAGATTGCAGACCCCTCTGGAGAACCACCCACTAGCAAGATCTCAGTCACCTCTGGATTAAGCTTCAGTTGATTGACCGTCATTCAGTCTGCTATTGTGACCGGACATGGGGGCAGCAAACCCACGGCATCACCTGTAGAAGAAGAAGAAGAAGAAGAAGAAGAAGAAGAAGAAGAAGAAGAGAGGAAACAGCTGCTTACCATCAGGCTGCTGATGGCAGCACACTCTAAAACTCTGTACGATCCCTTTCAGCAGATTCATGCAGGTATTAAATAACACAGGGGCTAAATTTGACTGGGGTCTGGGGCTGTTTGTCCAAGTAGGAGTTGAACCATGGCAATGTCAGTTGCCCCAGAAGTAAACCGTGGTAAACAGTACTAGAAGCCACTGAGAGATAAAGGAGAATCAACAGGTTCACACTCTTCCTGACTTTCTCCCAACCCAGAGCATCCTATAGGGCAACCAAAGCGGTATCTGTGGCCGAACCTCAATTAAAATAGATCTAGAAGATCGGTCCCCAACAAGAGCACCTAGATCTGTCTGGCAAGTTGCTTGTTGCCATGCCTCCCTATCAACCCAGGATATTTTATTTTTCCAGTGAGCCTGTAGTCAAAGGAGGGGTGTGCTGCCTTTTGGGGGCGGGAGAAGTAAAAAGTCATACATTCAGGCCACCCCCTGAGCAGGCAGCCTCCTTCTCTCTGGGCTCCACAGCCTCTGTTTGCTCCCTGCCTCTTTCCCCTTTATTCACTTGCTCATTCATTCACCATCCATCCATCCTCCCTCTAACTCTCACACATATCCATTCATTCACACACACACACACACACACACACACACACAGGCATACTACAAACAAATCTCAGTATACATCAAATATAAAGATGCATTTGAACTTCCTGGCCTGCCTATTTACATGACACCCAATACGAATGGCTTTCCAGGGCCATCACAGTTGTGTGTGTGACACAGCTAACTGTCCCCAGCTGTACAATTTCTAGCTCAGAATTCAATTTATGAGCATGTTTGATGTTAAAACGTACCCATGAGTTTGTAGTTTATATACATTTCTGACAACTATTGTTAGGCTGTGCTATTGGTATGGCGAGGAGAATGCATTACTATATACTTTGAGCCTGTCTGTGGTGGGAGGGGGCAGGGGGAGGGGAGCAGTCCCAACTAGGAGGCTCCATCCAATTATCTCGCTTAACAAAAGCGCTGCTGCAGACATTGAGCTGTGGAGCAGCTGATGCAGGCCTGACAGGGGAAAGGCTTGCATATGGAAGAGGGTGGATTCCTCAGCTGCACAAACAATCCCAGGAAGACTTTACTGGGGTTACTTTATCCTTAGAGGACAACTTTAAACCTCCATCACAGTTCAAGGGATGTGCAGAATGAGTTCAATTTTGTCGTCACTTTGTACCCATTCTTCCTTCCTAGAACCTAAATGGTCTCTCAGCTAGGTGGCTATGTTCTTTAGAGCCTGGCCTGAATCAAGATTTATTTGTTTAGCTCAGTGGTTCCCAAACTTTTTCGACCACCTCTCCCTTTTCCACCATAAACTCATCCACGGTGTCTCCTACTCTATGAAACATATTGTTCAGAATAGCAATTTGCGTGAACCACTAAGGAAAATAACAACATGCTCAAATTCAAAACAGTAACTCTGCTTTCTTTGCCTGAATTCGTATGTCGCATGACTCTATGACCTAGAATAATAGAATTGTAGAGTTGGAAGGAACCACGAGGGTCATGTAGTCCAGCCCCCTGCAATGCAGGCATCTTTTGCCCAACGTGGGGCATGAACCCACAACCCTGAGATTCCGAGTCTCAGGCTCAACTGACTGAGCTATCCATGGAAGGAAGGGGAAGCAGGAGGCATTTGAGTTTCCTCTCTTCTTTCCATGTTCCATAATGCTTGAAACCTCTCTCAGGTAAGGACTTTAACAGCATAATAAGAGCTCATCTACCCCAATATGCTGCCCTCTCTCTCAGAGGCCAGTTGACGGAAGCCTGCAAGCTGGATGTGCCAGTGATGCTGCCACCAAACTCAGGGAGGAGGATGAGCCGAGGCTTCTCCCAAGCCTTGATGGCTCTCCATGGCTTCCACTGCTGGCCTCTTCCCTTGGGCAGCTCATAGCGGCTGCTGGAGAGCAGGCGAGGAGGAAGAGAGGCCACCGAAGCCCAACCCTGTGTAATCCACCAGCTCTGAGGGTGAGGGCAGGGCCAGCCTGGGTGGAAAGAAAGCAGGAGCAAAGTGGAGCGCAAGGAGACTTGGTGTTTTTTAAAATTCTTTGTGCATCTACACCTCATCTTGCCCCTTTCTAAAATTTATTCATTGGTGTGTGTTTTTCTTTTTGTAAAGCTTCTTGTAAATCTACTGAGGAATGGAGGTGGAGGGCATGTGTGCTGTGACCCATTGGTGTTGTGGTGGCAACACTCTCCCTTCTTCTGATAGGAATTGTTCTGCGAGGGTGGGGGACAAAAAATGGAGGGTCATCTTTTTTGGGGGGGGGGAGTGAGAAATGTCCCTATTTTCACCTGAAGAATGTTGGAGGGTATGCACCTGTGTTGTCTTTTAGGTGTCTGTTGCAGACTTTCCTCTTTCATCCATCCTTCTAAGTGGAGACCCATGCCCCCAAGCCATTATCTGCACTGGGTTTCAAATTGTTTTTATATATGTAATTGTTTTATATATGCTTTTATTGTATTGTGGAATTGCTTTGAGATGCATCACAGGAAGCTTTGCATAAATAAAACTAAATAATAATAATAATAGATATGTATGGGAAATGTGCAAAAATATAAGCACCAGAAGGTAAGGAATTAAATGCAACAATGTACAACACATTTTTACCCCCTTTTCCGCTGCTTTCTTGTTTGTTTGTTTTTAGACTGCTGTTTTATTGTTTTTGTTTATTAATTAAGGCCATTGGATTGTTTTCCCATCATCTTGTTAGCCACCATAGAGGTTTTTATGCAGAAAAGTGGAGTAACAAAGGGTTGGGTGTATCTTTAGAGCTGCCGTGTCACTGTTGAACTGCTGTATAACCACTTTCGTTTGGCGAAGAAGTTCATCTGCCTTAAATAATATTGAGAATGCCAGCTGTACCAACCCAGCTCCCCAGAAAACACTCCACCCAGGGAGACCGAAAGAGAGAGAGAGTGGAAAAATTGCACATTGGGCAGAATGGTGAAATGAATCACTCACACCAAGATTTCTCAGACATTTTAGCTGACATAGCCCAAGAATTGTAAAAGGGAAAACATTCGTCTTCAGTGACACAAACACTCTGGGATACTATTAATCTTTCCTGTAGCTCTTTCCAGCCGATGCTTTGCTCTACAATCCATACTTGTTTTCACAACAACTCTGTGAGGTAGCTGAGACTGATGCCAGAGATACTTTACTTCCAGGTCCAGGTTGTGACTATTATGACTGACATGCAGGGATTTGAAGCTGGGTCTCCAAAGTTCAGAGTTGATATCTGTAACACCATACCAGCTCTTCAGCATCATGACACCACTACTGGCTTCCATTAGGCTTTGGTCGAACTCATCAGGACTGTGGCAAGAGTCACCACCTGCACATTTGGTGACCCTCTTGGCTGGTCTTTGAAATAAGAGCCCATCATTTGAACAATGAGCCTCAAGCTAAACTGGCTCCCCCACCGCCATGTCATTTTGTGCCTGCTAAGCCTGAGCCCCACTAGTATATATTCCAACAATGTTAGCAATAAGAGAGAACTTCTGGGAGTACATGCTAGGCACATTGACACTCCATGACCTCAACCTAGAAGATAGTGCTGACATCTCTTAGCTTCACTGAATGAAGGCCTTCTCAGCAGCCCATCCTCAGAGCGCTCTCTCTCTCTCTCTCTCTCTCTCTGTGTGTGTGTGTTTATCAGAGCAACTGCTGAGGGTGGAAGTTGTCAGATTGCAGGGGGTTGGTCCTTTCCAACTCTACAATTCTATGATTCTAAGAATTTAAAATTTCTGTTTTGTTAATCACTGATATATATATACATGTATGTATACATATATGAAGAAGAAGAGGAGTTTGGATTTGATATCCCACCTTTCACTCCCTTTAAGGAGTCTCAAAGCGGCTAACATTCTCCTTTCCCTTCCTCCCCCACAACAAACACTCTGTGAGGTGAGTGGGGCTGAGAGACTTCAGAGAAGTGTGACTAGCTCAAGGTCACCCAGCAGCTGCATGCGGAGACGCGAACCCAGTTCACCAGATTACGAGTCTACTGCTCTTAACCACTACACCACACTGGCTCACCATGAATATGAATATACAGTGGTACCTCGGGTTACATACACTTCAGGTTACATACGCTTCAGGTTACAGATGCTTCAGGTTACAGACTCCACTAACCCAGAAATAGTGCTTCAGGTTAAGAACTTTGCTTCAGGATGAGAACAGAAATCATGCTCCGGCGGCGCGGCAGCAGCAGGAGACCCCATTAGCTAAAGTGGTGCTTCAGGTTAAGAACAGTTTCAGGTTAAGTACGGACCTCTGGAACAAATTAAGTACTTAACCTGAGGTACCACTGTACAACTTTCTGACAGTAATAGCTGTTCAGCACTGGAACAGTCTCCCTTGGGAGGTTGTGGACTCTCCTTCCTTGGATGTTTTTAAGCAGAGGTTGGATGGCCATCTGTCATGGATGCTTCAGCTGAGATTCCTGCATTGCAGGGGGTTGGACTAGATGTTCCTTGGAGTCCCTTCCAACTCTACATTTCTATGTTTTGATATGTATATGCATGCCACTATCTCTTTGCCACATTCCGGTGTAACAAAAAAACCAAGAGTGTGACTATGTACAGAAGACACTGGCGTGGTCCTTGCTTGATCACTTGCCCACTAACCTTCCATTATGGAGATGGCAGCTTGGATAGAGGATCCTAGGGTGGGGAAAGGAAGGGAAGCCAGCAAACTTCCATGACCCACTCTGCCCCCACCTACCAATTGCTTATCAAGGAACGTTATTCAGTTCCCGGTGGAGGAAGGGGAAAGCCAAGAATGATCACATGAAGAGAGATGGTGTGGGCCTTTGTGCCCTGCTGTAATTGTATTACACTGTATATAATACATACATGAGTGTTGGAGAGCAAGGTGGACCCATAATGGCAGACCAGTGAGGATTTTAATGCAGTGATTCCAAAAGGTACAGATGGACGTCCCAATTAAAAACTGTCAAGATGATTATATGACCGCCCTTTTTAAACAACCAACCAACTAGATCATAGCAACCCCTGAAGCCGCTGCTTTGATCATCACCTGTCAACATTTCCACTATTACTATTTTTTGTTTATTAAAGGTTTAAAAGTTGGCTGCAGAAATTCCCTATATACTTAGAGCTTTGTGCAAAGCCCTTCCAGCTTCCAGCTGAAAGACCCAGGGCAGTGAAATTAATCACTAAGCTTTGTTGAATAATTTTGGAACGCTTCTGGTGGAGGCTGAAAGTACAAAGCGTATGGATAGGTGTATGTGCGTGACTTTTGTTCAGTGAAAACTATGAGCTTTCCTCATGCAAGCCGACCCCCTTTTAGTATAATGGCAGAAAACCATGGATTCCTTTTTAAAAAGGAAAAAGTACTGGTGCTGGCACATAGCAGTGTTTGCTGCTCTGAACCGCCAATAAATAGTGTACGTTGATGACTTCTGCTCTTTTGCCAGTGAGGAAAAAAGCACTCTCAACATGCACAGAGGCTCTTATTGCTGTTTTGCTCCTTACAGATATGAGCCCAGCAGTTCTAGAACTGAGCTATAGCTCAGACTGGAGATTGGCAAAGGGTTGAAGCTTTGTGTGGGCGTCATTTTATGGAGGGACAAGACCAGTAGGTCACCATACAACCTTACAGTCAAATGCTTAGTTTCTCTCTCTTCATATGACGTTATTCTTCACTTTTCTTCTCTCCTAATGGTGGCTATATTTCTATTTGTCTGTAGGAATTGTGCCTGCAGGAAAGTCTAACACTGAAGCAGGAAAGGAGAGTTACCATGTAGCTCAGGGGTGGTGAACCATTTTTAGTCTGAGGGCTGTTCTTTTCTTCTGGCCAAGGGCCGCAAGTCAGAGGTGGGCAAAGGCAAAAGCAGGCAGAGCAATGAATGCCAAATTTGCCTTTTGACAGTCAGCTAGTGTCTACACACACACACACACACACACACACACACAGTACCCTCCAAAGTCAATATATTAAATCTGCTTTTAATGGATAGGGAACCTGTGGTCCTCCTGGTGTTATTTAACCACAACTCCCATCATCCCTGACCATTGGGCACAATGGCCGGGACTGACAGGAGTTAAGAGCCCAGCAACATCTGGATAGCCTGTTTCCCATCCCTCTCTGGTGTTTGCTACTTGAGCTTAGAGGGAGAATTTGGATGGGAGGCTTAACTTTTGCCCCTCGATGCTCAAAGGGCTAGCTGCCAACAGAGCCAAACTGGACTAGCCTACCCCAGCGTATTAAGCTTTATCATACGTGGAAAGCTTTCCGGGGCTATTATAAGCAAAAGAGCATCTGATTTAAAAGAACAACTTTCATGTTCAGCCGATACCTAAGGACAAGTTGTTTTCCCTTTTCCTCTAATGAAACATACGCGATCCAGAGAGCCCAGGCTTCTTGTTCCTGTGACCAGTGTGATCAGTACCATATGTGAAGTCGGGAGGAACCGGAGCCCACGATCTTTCCAGTCCAATTGGGAGGAGGAGGCGGGCAGGATGCTTTTGATCAAGGGTCTGGCGCTGGCTCAGTTGGCTGAGAGCATCTCTCGCTTTGCAGGCCTACGTTCCAGCAGGCCTGCCTGTTCTCACACTTTTGAGAAAGGGGATAAGCTGGGA